ACTAGTAGTTTGCATAGAGAATGGGATGGTTCATGGTCTGAAGGAGGTAAGGAATCTGTACAAAAATGCAAGAAGCTGCGTGAAGTTGTGTTCAAAAGGAGTTTGTTCGCTCCGGCATTCGGGGATTCGGAGACTTCCACCAAATCTTCATCGCCGGAGTTGATGTTGATGTTGATACTGACAAGAAGAACGGAATCGATGAAGAGATATTAGGTAGCAAAGAAACAAATTTCGATATCCAAGGTTTCCAAATGAGATGTGCAATCGGTATCAGCATGTAGTGGAGAAAAACGTGGTAGTGCTGTGCGCGGTGTGCACTGGTAACTTAGCGGCAGTTGAAATAAATTAAGAGTGGATAATTCCAATGTGTGACGAGTTCGCTCTACCCATTTCAGTCCTCACTTATTCTAATTGCAGTCCCTTTTGTATTGGTATGCCCGATTCGGACTTATACGACTGAAGAGAAAGGGAAGAGTTTGCTGGATTGTATCTTTCTACTCTATCGCCACATTCCTTTTTTATGGGAAAGGCGGCGGCGACAACGACGACGATGACAACCTATCTAGGTATTCTTCATATTGACTGAGTAAATAGAATTGTCCAATGAAATTCAATACCAAGAATGAATTGACATTACCTATTGCCTAGGTGATTGTTACGCAAATAGGCTAGCGTAAGATACAAATGTACATGTGGTGCACGTGATAGTGGCGCTTTTTTCCCAAAAGTCCCCGTCCCGGGCGGCTGCGAGTGCAAGCAACAGAATAGCAACACTAACAAACTGTTGCAACCACAACCGCACCCTCACCACACCCACACCACACCCACCACAATCACAGCCCAGGCTCTTTGATACTCTCCAGGACGACAATCAATACGAACAGGACTGATTTCTCTTTCTAGGCTCCTACCTTTCGGTGATCACATCACCAAGCTCACAAAGTGGAACTTTGTGACCCTAGACCTGTTAGATGAACTAATATGTCAACAAAGATGCAACTCAACATGCTGCAATTCAAAAATCCAAGGAATGCGAAGAAACAATTGGTAGGACTAAAGCTAAGGCAGCACCGTAAATAGACGACATAAATCTATAAACATCACAAACGAAAAGGCCAGACCAAAGGACAAACAATAAAACATACACTCCGTCGTATACAGCCATGTCAGTAGGTATATGCCGAGTTCATACATCATGTACATGATATCAATGTACCTGCTGGTCCTGCAGCTTTCATATTTAGCTAAGATGTACGATTGTGGTTGGCTGATGAGTCTGACTTATGCATGACCATCCGTACCATGTACCATTCTCATTCCAGCAACTATTGAGTCTGCGCCACATCATTGCTGTTTTCTCTGATTACTTAATCTAGATAAGTCAACCTTGGAACCCACTGAAGTATATTTAGATTATTCTTTCTTTCTTCACACATGGCAAATCCTAGCCCATTGGTTAGTTGCCTACCATACCTACACGGGACACAGGACACACAGGAAATGTACGGGTTCTAATTTACGTCTTCCTTTGTCCTGCGCAATGTGCATTTGGATTGTTACTTGGAGATCAAATCCTTCTCAAGCCGTGGTTACGATCAAGGTATCAACCCCCGTTGGCACATTCCCCTCGATATTACCTTGATGAGCTAAGCCTCAAGTTTGGGAAGGTAGTATTGAACACAATCGGTTCAAGTAGAACTTGGAAAATGTAGAAAATCCATTGAAAATTATTTCGGCCTAAGACAAAATCAACCAGCTGAAACAAAATGGAATAATTTTGTATGCAGGATTACCCCGCGAGTGTATGTGTAATGGATTTGCTTACCCGGCGTTCTCCATCTCATTAATAACTCCGGCAAGATCAAAGTACTGATTTGCCCAAGGACTTGCTATCTGCCTTTATCCAGAGGCACAGAATACTACCATAGTATCTTTCCGCAATGCCATGCCAAAAAAAATATACTTGCCCAAGAGACGACACAATTCAATTACTCCTTTTAAAGAGTTAACACAATCATTAAACAAGCCAGTAGCATCAAGGGTTTCGTCAACCATTCGTCATTATCACGACCCAATTAAATTGTCAATCCTTCTATATGAAATTCATTACACAGCATCTCTTACGGTTGCACAATTTCATCGTAAAACGGCCCTTGATAATCTCATTCATATCAAAACGGTGCAGTCGCACCTGTCCCTCCGCCTTGCGATCAATCCTGCAAGGCTATTTTGACTATGATCTCTTGGATTTCGAATCCATTACCTTACGGTATATTGCCCGTAGAGTATCCACGTGTGTCTCAAACAATTAGATACGAGCTTTAAGGACTCATCCAATCAATCCATATCTGCAACCGTTTCTGCTCACAAAATGCCGACATAAGCGTCTAGCAAGCCTCTATGGGAATCCAGGCCTTAACAATAATGAACCTTCTAGCTTCATCTTGGAGGATTCAAAAGCATGACATTCCGGATTCTCTCTCAATCTTGGAGTTCCAGCGCTAGGAAGTGTAAAGATAACTATCTCCTCGGAGCAAAAGTGAAGTGCCATATTGTTTCTCCCCTCAATCAGCGTGTCTTTGTATTTGTATCATGGGATTTCTTGGCAACGGCAATCCAACAACATAAAACGCTTATCTCTGCTTCCTCTCTACACAGTAGTAAATTTGGGAGAGTTTAATGCTGGACCAGAATCTTACACGCATCTGCTTTCTGTACCCACACGTTGTCATTCCCAGACATACTGTTTTGTTTTAGACTTGGCCGGCTACAACTTTCATGTTGTCTCTTGTTACAAGTGGCTTCACAGAGATGTCATCTATTATTAATACCACGCAAATATCGTTGTTTAATATGACCAACAAGAGGTCTTTATGTACTCCTCGCTATTATTTCGCATAATTGTAGCTTAGGCGGCCAGAGTTCGGCAGTGCTCATTCAAGACAATATTCTATGTATTTAAATCATCGTTTCCAGCCAACATACTAGCATTGCATTTGTTATTATAGTTGGAAGTTATATCCTCGTATTAACATGAAATACCACATTACGGTAGGGCGAAATGATCCGCGCCTTTATCTCTTCATCAGTCGTTCTTGATTTTTCGAATAGCTAAAAACAATTGAACGCCGATTTAGAAACTTATCATTTTAGTTTGGATCTTCATTTCTGACTGTAGACTTACCGAGCGTCTCGAGTACGAAGTTTACAACCGGGCTAGCGGTTCCGATCCCAACTTGTTGGTGATGAAAATCCATCGCCCCACGTCACGGTCAGGGCTGAACTAATTCTAGCTCTACAAATCAAAGAGAGTCCAACTACTCCACCATAGTTGGTGCTACTTTTTTCTTAATAAATATGTCTCGCATTTCCACGTGGAATTTCAGGCTTATTCCAGATACGTCCATGAATCAATTGCGGTATCTTACATAAATACCAATGGGGGAATGAATTCGTCCGGCTCCGATTCCCAGAATTACGGTACTAGGATTGTACATAATAAGCACTTGAGTCATCCCTCAAACCAGGAACCTGACATGATTTGTCTTGAAAATACATTATGATGATTAGTATAATCTCATTGGATGAGGTAAGATGGATGGAGAAATGGTGAGATTTTAATTGGGTCTTGGTATGCTTATGTGATATCTTAGTTGATATTTGGCAATTGCAAACTTTTTTTTGAAGATCTACTTAGTTGTCTGTACCTGTATGCCGGATGTACTAAGTATTTTGGGGGCTTAAGTGCGTTTTCGTTGATTATTCATCGCGTAGGTTGATCTATATGGAGATATCTAGGGGCGAGACTATAATCTAGTGCCATCAGTTTTGAGAACATTCTGAGAGGTTTCATCTGGTAATGATGTAGAAGATCGTTCTGACTACGAAGCTTCAGTCGGTACCGTCTTTCATAATATTATTGTTGTCGAATGATAGTCAATTCTTCGTGGGTACAATAAATCTAAAATGGGGGTTTATATCGGCCAAACTAGCAAACTAGTGCGACGTCGGGAGTCTTCAAGATTCGGCCGTTGAGAAGAAAGATATACTTGGTTGATTGAGCAAGGTCAATGAAGTTCATTTGAAGATTAATTCGCAGTCCCAGAACATCACATCTCTATGAACTTTCCTCGTCGCTTCTCATCCCCCCTCCACAAGTCCGGGCAAAGGTACCTTCTTCAGTATCCTAGCCACGGACAGTCAAGCATCGACTTTCAACTTACCTAGCCTACCTACACAAAGAGTTGAGCCTTCTATGTCTTATCCTTCCAGTTCCGCCTTTCCAATCCCTACGGCTTCACTTTTTGACTTACTATTCTAGCAATTGACTTCTCATCTCCCCACAACATCTACCGCCATTGAATCATTAATCCATCTCGGTCTTATTGCCCTCAAATGTATCACTTAATTCTAGTATCGGCTTAATCAACTCCATCTATAACAATCCTCACCACCTCATCCGCAAGACTTCCCTATACGTATTGCCATTCTTCACTAGCCAAAATCATCAAAAGCACCATTCCTTCCCGCCTCTCTCGTTGTAGTGATCACCTCCGATTTCTCCTATGGTACAACCTTCCCACATCACCCCCCATGCGCAGTAAAGTCAAGATCTCGGCATTAAACGATCAATCACTAACATTGATTCACTGCAAGCGCTCATATGTATGCCTTTGACGAACAAAATTTACTTATGAAACTGCCCTTTCGTATACAATCCCGCAGATATTTAAAAACTAGCTGCCATTTTCCATCCTCAACCTCTTCCATGTTGATCCAACTTCAGTTCGCTTTTGTATGTTACTCAAAACCGTGTGTCTGTATACCCACCCGAATGTGTGCAGAAGTACACAATTGCTTACGCCGTACCTATATGTCGGTTCTCCCATGCATAGACATCAAAAGATCCATCACAGCTTCTCTTAGAACACTCAGCCAATCAAATAAGAAAATCTACACATCCAACACAACTTTGTGTACCTAGGTAGCCATCCAGGAGCCTATGAGCTAGAGGCTTCACTCCCACTCTCACTGATATCGATAAATGACTTTGCCAGCGTGGGATACAAGTACAATATTGACCCCACAACAACAGTAAGCACAAAAAATGCCGTCACTGCTGCCTTGATACCTTCTGCTAGTCCCGTCGTCCAAATCACCGAGAGCAAGATGATCACAAGTAAAACTAAGAAACATATCCTCAGTGAACCTCTTCGGTTGGCCTTTAATGCAGCTGCGATTCGGTCTTGGTTTAGTGCTATCAGAATAAACGGGATAGACATAGCGCCAGATATGCTTACTATGGTAGAGGATAGAGTTAGTTGGTATAGACGGTGTGGGAAACGAAGGATAGATGGAGGTAGAAGTGAAACTTCTTACGCATGTACTTCAGTACATAATCCAGTGGTAGCTTCCCGTCATCATTGAATGGGAATACGTCAATATTAATGGCGAAGAATGCTGCCATAAACGATAGGGGAAGCTAAACACATGAGCAAATCTCTATTGTTTCCTAGGAAAAAGGATTACTATCTTACGAAAATAATCGTGACCACTGTGAATACAAGAACAGTCCTTCCTTGCCGAACACTCTCGAAGGCCTGCTCAGTGGCGATATACGTCTGTTTTAAACTGGTCTCAGCGAGTTTATTTGCAGCTGCAGCCTGGATGGTTGAGCTCTCCATCTGCTTGCGAGATGATAGCGCTTCCGAGACGTTGGCTTGTTTTTGTTTCAAATCGAGAAGGTGATTGAGCTAATATGATTAGTTTAAGGAAATGATTCATGTTGGGATATATTTACAGATAGATATGTCTTATCAGCCAATCTTTCCATCTTTTCAATCCGATACAAATAGTTCTTTATCATCATATCCGAGGTTCTGTCTTTCATCGAATTGGACTGCGATCTGCGTTGGGCTATAATCTGGCTAAATTCTTCGACTGGATTCAATTGGTCACTTAATATCATTTGAAGAATTGCCAATTCATCACGAATATCTCGAATCTCAACCAATAACTGAACTTCTTCTGTAATATTGAACAGTCCATCGGATTCCGTATTTCCAGAGTTGAGGCCCGGTTCTGCACGGGCAAGTCCGTCCGAGAAATTGCGAAAGCATTGAGCCTCCTTATCAATCTGTCGCTAGTTGTAAGCATTACTGCGCAAGCTGAGAGTTAGATGACTTCACCCACCACAACGCCGATGGATCGTTCGAAGAAATCGAAGAATTGAAACTCTTCTGGTACTTGATATTGATCGAAAAGATTTACACACATGTCAACCACAAGGTTGGCTACATCGTAGGGTGAGACTATGGGAGGTCGTGTCGAGCTTTGCAGGTACTTAAGTACTTTCTGGTGGACATTCAGAGGGTCCTGGCGTAGAACTGCCAAGCGTTTTCGTTTTTCGGCAGTCGATGAATCTGGACTATCGAAAGTGACATGCTGATCATCAGTATTTCTAGACTGATCACGTCGGGATTTTGCCCGAGGCATTTTGCTGCTTTTTTTCGGTGCCCCTGATAACCATCCCAATACCCCGCCCTTGGGCTCAAACCTTTTTTGGTTAGGTGTGGATCTTTCAAGTGGCCTTGAATCAGTCATCTTGTTGCTTGCGTTGAGACGTTCTTGGCCTTTGGAGATGTGGAAAGCCTTTAAGCCGGACTGAGTTGCCTCTGTGGGGTTTAGTGCGAGCTCAGGTGGCTTAGAAAGGGGCTCAAGACGGACGGGAAGTATCTCAAATAAAGGTGAGGAAGATACAGATGGCTGTCTCAAAGCATCTTTTTCTTCTATTTGTGTATGAAGATTTGGCGGCGGATGCGGTGGTAATGTTGATGATGGCAGCGGCGTTGGTACAAGTACAGGCTGAGTGGAATCGCTGGTGCTCCAAATATCCCACCGTTGGGGACAACAACTTATGACTGTTTCTAAAGAGTTCTTAAGGTTAACAGCCGGTTCCACATGGAGGAGAAGTATAAGCGCATACCATCGCTGATAACCCAGAGCCAAAGTTGATCTACCATGAACATCTTAGGATCATAAGAAGTTTTGTCTCGCATGTAACGATACACTACCTGATCACTATCTCTCTGTGACGTATTTACAAGATGAGAATAGAAGTACTGATCCAATGTTCGTCTGATCTGAAGAGGTGCTTCTCCTGGATTATATGGAAGTAAATATGCCTTCACAAGAGCCTCATCAATCTTGCTCAATGGTATACGGCGTTCTTCGGCTGAAGCTCTAGAAGCGAATTGTTCTTTAATAGATAGTCCTGTTTCTGAGTGTGCATTTGATGTTTCGGCAATCTCCTTCTCGTCTGAACCAGTAGGTTTGCCAACCTGCATTAACTGGCGTCCTGAACTCACTTTATTAGAACCTAGGAAGATAGGGAGCTTAGTTTCTGCACTTTGCTCTTCTTGAATTGTGTCTAAAGTCGATGGTAAAACAGGTTGAGATACTGTGACGGAATTCTGAGCTTGCCTGTTATTGGCTTGAAGAATTGGGAGTAAAGAGCCTTGTGCGCATTTATTTGAGATATCGATTTCATCTTTGGCCTCGGGTATCCCTACTCCTTCATTAACAGAAACAAAATTTTCTGTGTGCTCTGGTGCAGATTTCATTTCGTCTAGTGTCACTGGAACTTTATCGCTTGCTTTATCAACATTCTGGACGGCCTCGGCTTTAATTTCTTTGAGCCCTTCCCGTAGTACGTTTATCTCATGATCTATTCCGTTTGGCGCTTCTACATCATTCTTGATCTCTGTGGGCTTGTTCTTTTCAGTCCGCACGTCTCCCTTCTCAAGGTCTTCGGAATTAGTCGGTGACGATGTCACATCTGGGTTATCCTTTCGCTGTGTCATATTCCTTAATATGCTGCTCATGTCACGAAACATGCTCGCGGTAGTACCAAAAATTCGTTTGAATGAACCAGAAGCTCCTTGAGTGCCTAAGTCAGATGAAGCACTACTCTCTTTAAACGCTTTGTTCTCTACGCTTGGCGGAGGTGGGGACGGCCGCCGCTTCTCGATAGATGTCACATTCACATGAAGTTTTTTTCCGGATTTCGAAGATCTCCTAGCTTTCGTATTCCTGCTAGGCAGCTTCTCGCGTAAATTCCGGGCTCGTTCGTCTTCCATAAAGCTAGCCATTTTTCGATAACCATGGTAAGTTTCGAAATGTAAGAATGGAATATGTTAAATAATTAGTCTAGTCTCCCGCAGAGTGATATGATATGTAACTCACAAAAAGCATTGTTTGCTTCGAACTGTCTGTCTCATAGGATCCACTCAAATCTATCTATCGAATCTTGGTCAACGGAAGTAATTAAGCACGGAAACTTTACATTGTACCTCAACAGTTCTGCACTTCGGTCTCATAAACGAAGAATGAGCTGTCGTTGCTCGATATTGCTGTCCTTGAGAGTTAGTTAAAGAAAGCTTGAATTTGGCATCTTCATCCAACATAATCCCCTTAGAACCTTGTTCTTGAAAATGCCGACTTGTGAGAATCTAGTGTCAGTAATTAGTTATTTTCTCAATTTGAACTAGCATACGACAATTCGTATACGGTGATTGCCGTCGACAAGATGAAAAAAGAGATTGGGATCCGTACTTCAACCCATTCGATCTAGGAACTGATTAGAATATAAATCAATTACAGTATGAATCTTTAAAATAATGTAGCAACTTACATTATTTGCAGGCAAATGATACCATCTAAAACTTCTTTTCTTTCCTTCCAATTTTGTGCCTTTTGCTGCGTTCATGATGGCCTTTGGGCCCTTACCATAAAGTAACTCGTAGATCGAGACTGTTTTCTGAATCCTCTGTTCCGTTTGCCCCACAAAGAAATCGACGATGGTACATTCGAACCCATTGCAAGCATTTATCTTATCGGTCTGGTCCACTGGAAGAGAAGATATAACGAAGGGTGATTTAGGGTTCGATTTGGGATTAATAACAGACGGGCCTTGAATCATAGGATCCGACTGTAGCAAATCCATCATCTGAGTTCCTTCACTGGCATAGTCCTCCGCCAGATATAGTCGACCTTCTTCGTCTCGAATCTTCTTACTCGCTCCGTTGCGCAGCAAGAAACTCACAGCTTCTTCATCTCCACTGCGAACTGCGCTGAACAGAGGAGTCTCCCCATCGGCATCTACTGCATCTATATCTGTCCCGACATCAAGGAGATTCTGAGCCACTACAAAACGACGGGTTTCGATCGCTTGATAAAATGCCGTGTGACAAGTCATATCATTGTAGGAATCATAGTTGGCGCCAAATTGCAGCAAAAGCTTGACAGAATCAAGCATTCCGGATTCTGAGGCCAGATACAAAGCTTTATTGCCATCTTGGTCAGCCGCTTCCGTATCGATACCACTCTCAAGAAGGAGCTGCATCATAACCTGATCCTTGTTCTGATTTGATATATGAAGTGCGGTTTGACCGTTAGAGGTTCGCATATTCAAGTCGACACCTGTTTGGCACAATCGTCTCACGGCATCTAAATCACCATGGCGAACGAGCTCCACTAAGTTGGTGGGCTCGGGGTGGGCATGGCGTCCTCCTTGAGACTGACTATTTTCAAGGGGCGTCTGGTCTTTGCCATCAACATTCTGACTAGATTCATACTCTTTATATCCTTCTTCCATGATTGTGGAACGGATCACCTCGGCTGATGACATTGCTTGAGATTTAAGGTCCTAATAACAGGAGTTTTGAGTTCTATGAAGGAGTGCGTTTCGTGAATGGCAAAGGATCAAAATGTATCCGTAAAGTGCTCCCAATGAGTGGCGCCTAACATCTTGTATTTGTTGTATGCATGCATTCGAGATGCTACATAATGTCCTCCGTTGGTTGGGCTGTGACATTTAGCCTAAATTTCCAGCTCGCCAGTGAGAGGCTAGGGTTTTCACGAATTTTAATGCTGGTAGCATGGTAGATTCAAGCCAAATTTCAGCCTCATTCATGTCCATGGATCCATGGGTATGATTCTGCCACGGTGCCGGCTGTGTTAACCTCAGAAATTGCAGTCACCCACCCATGAAAGACACAAAACATTTATTTATATATTTATTCGTGTTAGGAAGAGATTGTTTAGATAAAGAGCCAACATGCGTATGCCTATGCTTGGAAAAGTTCGTAAGTACTGTACTCACACCAACCGTACGCCGACTATGTACTGACTGACTGACATTGACAGCTTTCATCGGATTCCACCATGTACTAATGTTCTTCATTGCGTGCTCTATTATATTGATATGTAAAACATTTATCACTCTCTTTATATTGACATAATCCTAATTGACGTTAGCTCTTCTCATGGCTGGTTGCACCAGTGCCCCGCTATCTAACGTCTACCTCCTTTCCCTATCCTACATAGATCAACTGTCACCCTCTCACAATGACTCGTCGAAAATCAACCAAAATGTTTCAACTATGTTTTTTGACCTTGTGAGTCGAGGAGGTTTGAACGCTTCAACCGCAGTGGAGGTTCGCGTTGGCTTTTTGGGGTTCTGCCTGAGAGACCCTTCAGGCATTTGGGTATGCGCCAAAAGTGCTACATCGCTGGCGAAGTTTGTCAGAGAATCTGGATCTTTTGATGTGGATCCTTTGAACGTGATATGGATTGCGAAAGAATTCCAGAAACAGTCTTTGTTTAGTGGATTATGGTTAGTCTTCATGGCACCAATTGTACATCTTTCAATCTTCTAATTGACATAATTTTCTTCCATGGCAGGATTTCCTCGATTCCACTCATACTTGTGTGTTTTATTATTCTTTTCACGTTCCCAGGGTGGCATGATGAAGAGGATTCAGCCGGTATGGAAATTGAAGTGAGGCCATTTCCCTCAAGGCGGTTGTCGAATTGGGCATTGATTCTCGTTGCTTTAGCCTCGTTTCTCAGCTTTGTGTCAGCATTCTGGCAGCATATCTCTAGTGCAACGGGAGCATCAATGGTACGCAGCCTCTCCTATGGAACAATCAGAACTGTTGTCGGTCCAGCTGCGATGGCTTTGGCATGGGGCAGTGTATTTTTCTTGTTTCTTACGACCTTTGGACTCCTAATTATGATAATGAGTATCAAAGTGTTGGCGGAGACATTCGGTTGACGAGGTTGGTTTGGAACCGGGACTCTGATTGCAATAGACACACATATATATGATTTATGGTGTGGAAGAAAATCCAGAATGTGAGCTGGATACGATGAGTAAATGATAAATAGCGAGGGAAAAGAGATTGAGGGTCGAGGTTGGATATGTGTGAAATTGTGATTACTAACGTCATTTTTAGCTTATAATATAAATCATGTTTTCAGTTTTGCTTAAGTCTTTAACCTATCTAGGAATTCTATCTTTTTTTAAACAAAGCAAACTATATGTTCTTTCTCGTTTGATCTACTCATATATAGCTAAAAAGTTCGATAAGATTTAGAGGAACGTACAGTAACCGCGTACAGCTATTCGTCGGTCTCGAAAATCACATCAAAAATAGACATTATGCCCTAATTATAATAATGAAAAATTAATTTTTGAAATCATTATAACATATGTTAGGGTTGATCTACTTTACTACTAATCTACAAAAGTATAAAGTATTTTGAATACGTTCGAAATAATAGATCTACTATATAAACCCTTTTAGGTGCTCGCTTCCTGACATTAGATATATCAAATTCCTGGTCTGAAGATATTATAATCTTAGAGTTTCTTTTAATAGAAATAGTTCTTTTTTATATATTTGTAATTATTATAATAAATCACATCTTTATAAATTATTAATTATAGAATAACTATTATATATTTTTCGAATCTATTATAAAGAATAACTATATTAATTAAGATTAAGCGATGTATAGCAACAGCAAGTACTAACTACTATTAGTCGAAATATATTTTTATTTTAAAACTTATAATTTATAATCATAAATTTTCTTATTGTTATTAATATAATATAATATTTTATTATTATTTATCAGTTTATTTTCAATAAAAATTTGATTAAAATTTAATTAATTGTTTTTTAGAGTTTTATTAATTTTATTATATAAATTAAAAGTTAGAGTATTTTTAAAATAATTAGATTTATTAATAAGATAAGCGAAATTCAAGTAACTTTTTTAATATTTTAATTCAATTTTATGGATTTTAATATTAGAAATTTCTTAGGCTTTTCAAACATTAAAAATATTAATTATTATTATATAAACTTTATAAAAACAAAGTTTAAATAAATTTAAATTATTATTTATAAAGATTCTTATATTTAAAAATATAGCAAAATGTCGATTTTTGGTGTGAAATTGAGTTTCGGCTGATAGTAGTTAGCTAGTACTATAGTTGTTTATTTAAATAATAGATTTTATTAATATTAAAGATTAAAAAGCGTTCTGTAATCATAGGAGTAAGTACTTCAAGGGAGCGCTGTACTTAGTCATATAGTGTTATACAACACGGTGATTTCAGTGACAAGATATAAGTGTCATACGATGCTCAATTCAATATATTGTCTCTTTTCATTCCGCTACAATTATTATTGATTCATTTTGTCCTGCTACGACTACAATTTATTTCACCTATCCATCCACATTCAAGCAGCAGTCAACATGTCAAACGAAGATAAAAGAGGAATAACAGATGCATATGGATGTCTCGATCCCACAACTCAAACACAATATATGATTCTGCGTCATTCGGATCTTGGGCGACAAGTAGCCACGTTTACCGATCGCACTGAGCGAAATGCTTTTATTATCAAAAACGGAACGAAGGCAGGGCAAAGATCAAGTATCTCAGCACCCCAAATAAAAAACCCGAACGTGGGATGGAATGGGTAAGAGTGGGAGAGCATTGTTGCTGAAACAGATGAAAAGAAGCAAACATGAAATTACTGGAAATCTGTAAGTAGCTATATCTGAGGCAATTAGCTTCTAATTGTTAAAGGCTGAAATTCTGAGGCATGTTAGTATGTATGGAGCGATTGAATTGGCTGTGGGTCCACGCTGGATCTAACCCTATCCAGTATATCATTCTCTCCCTGTTATCCGAAGGCAGTCGGAAGCTTATTACGTTCTTACACTACAATATTCTAAGACTCGGATATCAAGACTCGGATATCAAGACTCGGATATCAAGACTCGGATATCAAGACTCGGATATCAAGACTCGGATATCAATTTGGAATACAAATCTACTTCACCTACCTAGGTAGGCAGCTCTCTTGAGTGTTGACCCGCTGCCTCTACTTGATCGATAACCTTTGACGCTTTGATTGGCCAGGTGCGTACTGTACTCTACCCTGTAAACATCACCAATCTCCTACTTAATTTATTCCCGTACATACCCGGCCACTTTCATCATACGTACATGTTGGATTATTATCACATTATACGATCACCTGATGGATTCTTATAGAACTTATTGACTTCTCGATAAATTCTATCAATTACCTGGGGTGATTAATAGCACTAACTCCGATATTTAAATATCTTTACAAATTTATATAGACTTTAAATCTAAGAATATTCAAATAATTTTAAAATTGAATTCTTATTAATTTAATAACTAAAAGTTATATAATAAAAATTAATTCTAATAACTATCTATATCGAAGGAATCTTATTAATTCTATCTGTATATTTAAATATGAAATCGAATGTCTGATTGATTTATTAGGATTATTTTCTTTAAAGAAAAATCGAGCATATCGAAGTTACTTTATATCGGAGTTGCTTCATATCGGAGTTGCTGCGTATCGGAGTTCATGCTATCAACTATCTGAGGTGATCGTCATGTTATGAAAAGTCGATAAGTATACTGATATAATATTAATTCTGCCCACTTCACAGGTTATTATTATCTTTCAGAACGGACACAATACAACGAACGAGATAATCATGAATCAATCGAGCGTTTGTACAGATGACGGTTTTGGTCCTATTATTCATGGATGTCGGGAAGACTTTGATTTTACACTGCTGTTCGAACAGAGCTTCTTTTCCATACTGCCTTCCATAATATTCATACTGATCTCGTCACAAAAAGTCTACTCCTTGTGGACACAGCCTAGGAGAGTGTCAGGTACTAGTACACAATTCTTTAAATTGGTGAGAATTATTATCAACATCATAAAGACTCAATACTTACAATTCATAGCTCTTTATTATTCTATACGGCCTACTTCAAATTATCCTTCTTATTCTATATTGTATTCGCAATACCAAAAATACACGGACTAGTATTCCTTCATTAGCACTATACAACATAGTTGTAGTATTCCTCTGTATATTGTCATATCAGGAGCACACTAAATCAATTCGCCCGTCGAGTATATTGAATGTGTATTTGTTATGCACTCTAGTTTTTGACGCTGTTCAGAGCAGGACTATCTGGTTGATTGATAACGATACAGCTATTGCAGGAGTCTTCACTGCATCGTTGGCTCTAAAGTTGTGTATGCTATTGCTAGAAGTCAGGGAAAAGCATCATTTGTTGTACTATGATGATAGAAAACATGGCCCGGAAGAAAGGAGCGGCATTTTCAACAGGGCTGTATTCTGGTGGTTAAAAGATCTTTTAGTTCTGGGACGAAAGAACATTTTAGCACTCGAAGATCTTTATCCACTGGATGAGGACCTTTCCACTGGGGATTTGTTGCCTAAATTCCAAACCGCCTGGGAAAAAGGTGCGTTGAAATCACATTTTGTCCTCATATCATTATGTTTGTAATCTCATTTTGGCAACAGGAGCCAAGGCCGGTAGCTATCGCGCTCTTTATGCAACATTCAAAGCCCTGATTGGGCCAATAATTATTGCTATGATTCCGCGAGTCTGTCTCATTGGCTTCAACTTTTGCCAGCCACTTCTAATACATCGATTTACTACTTACCTACAACAACCTGTCACCGAGAAGACTACAAACCAAGGTTATGGCCTTGTCGGAGCATATGGTGATGGTTTCTTTTTCTCTTTTATGCAATGAGCTAACATTTATATCAAGGTATTGTTTATCTAGGAATAACGGTAGGATATCTGTCACCCTCTAAATCTTGTGAGTTTGATGCTTATTCTTCCATAGTTCTCTACCGCCATCTATTATCGTCTGACATACCGATCATTGATCATGATACGAGGCGTGCTGGTGCCGGCAATATATCACAAAACAACTCAGATGCGCATTGGAGACTTTGACAATGCTGCAGCGGTGACCCTAATGAGTGCTGACACTGAACGCATTATGTATGCATTAAGGCAGATGCATGAAGTATGGGCCAATGTTATAGAAGTTGGATTAGCAACTTGGCTCTTGTACACACAGGTCGGCCTTGCTTGCTTTGCTCCTTTGGCCATCGCTGCTGGTGGGTTCGACTTCAACATCAAAACTGGCTTGACTGACAGTTTGATGTAGCTTGTGGTACTGCTTCAATCTGGCTTAGTTCCAAAGCAAACTTCCAACAATGCGAGTGGATGGCTGTTATACAAAAGCGAGTTGGTTAGTTAAACTCGTATTTTTGATAGAATATAGAACAGTAGCTTACATACAATTAGCTACAACAGCGGCCACTTTCTCGGCGATAAAAGGAGTCAAGATGTTGGGACTGACGCAAAAACTTTTTAAAACAATCCACGACCTAAGGCTCACAGAATTACAAGCGGCGAAAGCGTTTCGACTAGTAGAAGTTGTTACAGCTTTCTTTGGTGATTATAGCGATTTGATCCTTTTTTTAAATGGTAACTAACAGACTTTTTAGCCTTTTTACCTGAAATGATATCTCCAGTCGTCACTTTTGCTATATTCATAAACTTAGCTAATCACAATAGCGGAGCGTTCGCCACATCGGTAGTCTATACGTCTATATCAACACTTTTGCTAGAAACACAACCATTGACACAGCTCTTTCAAGTCATTCCACAACTTGCAGCAGCTGTTGGATCTTTCGGTCGCATATCTAATTTCTTGGACAGCCAGTCGTTGGTAGACGAGCGCGAGAATTTCGACTCCAACTTCAAAACAAGGGGTGAGACTTTGGTGTCAGGCACCGATGATATCACACTAGAGAATCTGAAACTCTCTCGAGAAACAAAACCATCTGATTTTTTAAATCTTCCTATTATGCCACTAGCCAACAAAGTGGGCATCAAAATCCAAGGAGGTGCATTTGGCTGGACAGAGAATCACCACACCCTTCATCATATAAACCTCGAATTCCCAAAATCGCAGCTTACCATGGTGATTGGACCAGTGGCATCTGGAAAGTCAACCCTATGCAATGCGATTTTGGGAGAGGTTCCATTTTCCGAAGGCACGATCCAGCTCTCATCTTTCCAGATAGCACTCTGTGATCAAACTCCATTCTTGACCAATTCGACCATACGAGAAAATATAGTTGGATCGTCAATTTTTGATGATTTGTGGTACAATACTGTCGTAGATGCTGTTTCACTGAGCCAAGATCTCAAGAGCTTGCCATTAGGAGACCAAACATTGGCCGGTGCGAATGGTCTGGGATTGAGCGGTGGTCAGAAACAAAGAGTTTCAATTGCAAGAGCAGTCTATTCGAGAAATAGTATCACAATCTTTGACGATATTTTCAATGGCCTTGATGCCACAACCAAACAACGCGTTTTTAACAATATCTTCGGAGCTACAGGCCTGCTACGTCAGAGACAAACCACCGTCATTCTTTTTACAAACGATGTCGATCTCATACAATTTGCTGATCATATCGTTGCTCTTGGAACTACTGGAACTGTTATCGAGCAAGGAAGTCCTGATTTGCTTCTTAATACTCAAGGCTATACTCGGCGCTTGGTAGCATCCAATTTGAAGGTTGTAGAAAATATTTCGGAAGGAAATGCAGAAGCTGCTACCACACCAAGTTCTACCGCCAAATCGAACGAGCAGACAACTACCATCCCAGAAATTGCTACTGAAAGGAACAACAACACTGATCTTTCAGTGTATTGGTATTATTTTACATCTATTGGGCTCTTCAATATGATCCCATACTTATTTCTGGCAGCCTCGTTTGGCTTTTTCTACTGCTTTCCACTTGTCTGGCTAAGCTGGTGGTCTGAAGCAAACAAGAATAACACAATGTATTTGACGGTATATAGTATCTTCCAGATGCTCGGTCTACTCTCGATCACGTTCCTCGCGCAACATGGACTAAACATAATGGCCAAGAAATCAGGCAAGAACTTGCATCTCAAGCTTCTTAAGACAGCAATGTCTGCTCCTTTGAATTTCTTTCATGCGACTGATACTGGATCTATTACTAATAGATTCTCACAAGACATTTTGCTGATTGATACAGAGCTTCCCAACGCGTTAATGAATATAGCTGTTTTAATATTCATGATGGTTGGACAAGCAATAATCATTGTCGTTGCATCGCCATATCTGGCTATCTTATACCCCTTTTTGATTGGAATTCTCTATTATATCCAGAAGTTTTACCTTAAAACTTCTCGCCAACTTCGTTCTCTGGAACTAGACGCAAAGTCGCCACTATAGTAAGTCTTCCCCAATCGGCATTTCATATGATACGTTGATGTTACCACTCAGTACTCCATTAAATACCTAAACACTGACGTATAAAATTATAGCACACATTTCCTTGAAACTTTACGTGGACTCCGGACAATGAGAGCTTTTAACTGGACCGTACCAAACCGAGAGCTCAATTCAAAACTTCTCGATACATCGCAACGGCCGGTATACCTTCTGTTCATGGTCCAGCAGTGGTTGACAGTCGTTTTAAACCTGGTGACTACGGCCATAGTAATAATTTTGGTAGGTGTTGCTACCGTCACCCGATCTCAACATAGTTATATTGGTCTTGCTCTCGTCAATCTCATGTCCTTTAATAATATTCTAAAGAGTATTGTTATACTTTGGACCACACTTGAAACTTCGATTGGTAGTGTTTCAAGGATCAAAACATTTAGCGAAACAACCGAATCAGAGGCTGAGACCTCGTCTCAAGACATGATAGAAACGAGTGAGAATTGGCCCCAGCATGGTGGTGTTGAGTTCAAAGATGTCTGTGCCACGTACAAGTCAGTTAACTCCTCCTTTGTGACATCAGCAAATGATGAAAGCCATATCAAACTAATTTATGCCAGTAGCGAAAATCGCAATCCAGTATTGAAACATGTAAATCTATCGATCAAACCAGGGGAGAAAATCGGAATCTGTGGAAAGAGTGGCAGGTATGTAAATAAAATCCTACATCCATGCTGGTCTCACAAAAGAATAGTGGCAAAAGCTCCTTGATCCTCACTTTATTCCGAATGCTTGATCTTTCGCACGGCAGCATATTCATTGAAAATATCGATATCACACGACTTCCCCGAGAACAAATACGCTTATGTCTGAGTGCTATACCACAAGAGCCCTTTTTCTTGAAAGGCACACTCAGAGATAATCTTGATCCGCATGGAGTATCAGAAGATGGTTTTTTGATAAAAGCGTTGGAAATGGTATCGTTGAAGTCTATCATACCGAGCACTGGCAATCTAGATAGCGAGATGGACGCCGAGGTTCTAAGTCACGGCCAACAACAACTTTTCTGTCTCGCTCGCGCGATAGTCCGCCCTGCCAAAATTCTGATTATGGACGAAGCTACAAGCAAGTAAGTACATATACCAGTGAGGTGTTCCTGAAAACGAAACTAACAACGTGAAGTGTGGATCAAGAGTCCGATACTTTGATGCAAGACATCATCAGAGATGTATTTGGGGGTTGCACAATCATAGCCGTAGCGCATCGTTTGAATACTATCGTCGATTTCGACCGTATTGCGTTGTTTGATGATGGGGAGCTGGTGGAGTGCGATACTCCGGCAAATCTGCTTGCACGACCTTCTTTGTTCAAGAAGTTGTATGAAGATCAGCAACTCAATTACTGAGTGGGTTTTAGGAGAACATCTGAGTATTGACTTTCTTTTCTATTCACCTTTTTTTGAAAAGGATGAAGGAAGAAAGAGGAATCTTCATTATCATTATTTGCTTGAGAAGAATATAGATGATAGAGTACCTACGATAATAGATTCTAAATGTTGATATTATAGTCTGTCTAAAGAGCTAGCTATTTAAAGAAAGAAGCAACTCTTATATGTTTTGAGGTTAATCTTCTCGCTTAGTATACTATGTGTAGTAGTCTTAAATGATTAAATGACTTAAGTTCATTCGCTTATTCTTATAATAGCGATTAATAAAAAAACGAGTAGTCCCACTAAGATGCTGAACCTAAGGTCCCAGGCCTTACCAGTCATATGACACCCGATGCAACAGCTGTGTTTTGTGGGAAATTATAAAGCGATTCTAACGATATCTGATAATATGTATAATACACAGACCCTTAGAAAGCACAACACGAATCTAATACTACCTGTTGTGATGAGCCACTAATACAATTACAATTTTGATTACTCTCATAATTGATTAGTATACCGGCAGTTCATATGCATTTACACAGCGCCCAGATAAGATCAAAGGGTACCTAGCAAGCACAATAATTTTCATTCTCAACCACTATCAAAACGCTAACTCATGGCCGTATGAGATGAGAGAAACCAAGATATGAAGTGAATGCATCCTCAAACACTATACATCTGACTCGAAGTCGTACCCAAATTCAGGCAGGAGAACGAGAGCAGGGAAAGCTTCCAAAACCTGCTCTTACGACTATGTGAGACGAGTCTCAATAAAGGCCCTACTGTTTCCCAAACTACAGATACAACATGTTTCACTCCTGCTCTCAATACCCCAAATCTAAGCCTTCTGAGTCTCTTCACTTTCAGCGTAGTCCTTGTATGGAATAATGGTAGGAACGAATCTCTTTGCCTTGTCGCTGGATACATCCTCAGCATAATCTTTGTATGGGATAATGGTAGGAACAAATCTCTTGGCCTCATCGCTCGATGCGTCTTCAGCGTAGTCCTTGTATGGAATGATGGTAGGAACGAATCTTTTGGCCTTGTCGCTGGATACGTCCTCGGCATAGTCCTTGTATGGAATGATGGTAGGAACGAATCTCTTGATGTTACCATCTGCAATGGCAGAACCTAATCTCTGTTAGTATTGTATCCATATAATACAGCATTTAAACTTACCTGCTTTTGGGGCAGGCAGAGCTGCAGTCAACGTGCTAAGCACGGAAAGTGAAAAGACAAACGTTCCAGTCTTCATTGTGTTGTCTTTGGGGTGTTATAGCTGAGTGCGTAATGATAAAGGCTTCGTAATAATTGAGAATTTGTGATATTGTGAAGGATGTTCTTCCTCTTTGGCCAAGGTAATGCCTTTGCTTTATACTTTTGAAAGTTTACATGTTCACTATGAACGAATTGCTCTGTGCAAGCTCATGCTTTGAAGATAGTGCATGGTCAACGCATCTCCGCCGATCAGATAACTTTACCTTCCTCATGGAGTTATGAGTTATCATTAGATTCCATTGAGCCGATCAGACCATGTTGTGCCCATCATCTGCCATAAGATACTAAAAAATAAGGACCTCGGCGACATGATTCCTTGCTCCATCATCTATTATCACCGATTCTCTGGATGTACCGTTACAATCAATATCTTCCCATACCATACAAGATGATACAATAATAACAAGACTAAACTAGGGGAAAATCCTCTTCCCCGCTCGATGGACTCCTCGTTCCATCATTCATCATCGCAATCAACATGTTCTCACACTAAGTAGAAACTATAAAATAAAGGAATCACAACACCATGCAAGAGAATTCTCTCTGCATGGCTGATTGGAAAGTACAGATGGCATGAACAAGTGGGCTGTAGTAGCGTGCATGAAGGCCATATTGGGGTAGAGAACGATACATCCTCGAGACATCTTGATCGACATCGAGGTATGCCGACCGATATTCGACTTGGTAAGATTGTCACATCAATGCAAGCATTCGTGATGTACATGCCATGGTCATTCACTAGAACAGACCATTATGCAGAATCAATATGTTGTCACGATTGCATACCATCATTCACTAGCCTAGCCATTGTGAAGAACCAGCATGTTGCCAATCAATGGCATACTATCCGGCCAATCTGTGGAGAATCAAAATTTAGCCACCCTTGGCATTCCGTCATTCAGACAAACTTATGCAAATGTTCTCCAAAGCAGTCTTGTGTAGTACACATCTTTTATTCTGCTTCTCAGCAGCTTTGATGATAACGAAATATTACACGAACCGGCCTATGGTATTCTTCAACAACAATTGCGGGTATTTGATCCAATTGAATAGGTTTAGATCCTTCAAGACAAGATTGGCAGGTACATGAGGTTGGCATCGGGCGGCAAAAGTTTAATGGTGCACACAGAGATTAGCGTAGTCCCCACATTTTTACAAACAAACCACTACAGTGTAAATAATCCTCCACAGAGAAATTACAAACCCCTAGCCAAAACCAACAAAAAAATACAAGATCTGAATGAAAGCTAATTGGTCGCTCTACACAAAAGTTCAGGTGCCCAGGGCTACGGCCTTTGCGATCGAATAGTTAAACCAAAAGTGTCTATCTGAGACTCTGGGGTCAACCGATAAGAGAGCTTCTCGTATACTTGCCGATCAATATAACCGATAAGTCGGGTACCCTATTTTCGGGCCATCCCCCTTTTGGGCCACTTTTTATATTCAAAATACATCAAAAATGGAATTTACAACTTTTTTATTTATAGATAGAATTTAATGAAAATTTGTATATATATAATTTAAATTGATTGAAGCTTAATCTGAAATTTTCAGATTTTTAGGATTTTTTTGTATTGAAATATAAAGCTTCAAAAAATCGATTTTCAAATTTGTATAGAAATCATATACAAATTTGAAAATTTTATTAAATCTTTAATAACTTTTTGATAAAAATTATTAAAAATAAACTATAAAATTTTATCATAAATTTATAATATATTTTATCTAAAAGATTCAGAAAAAATAGAAAATTTTTTATAAATAAATATTTATAGGGGTACCCTCAAAATAACAGAGATTATTTATATTACTCTAAACTTACTATATACTATATCTCTATATCTATTAATTTTTTCGAATTTTTTTTTAAATCTTTATATAGATTCAAATTTAAAAATCTCAAAAATATATATGGTTTTCTTTTAATAATTATTGTTAAAAAGTTATTAAAGATTTTATAAAATTTCTAAATTTGTATGTGATTTCTATACAAATTAAAAAATCGACATTTTGAAGCTCTAGATTTCGATACAGAAAAATCTTAAAAATCCAAAAATTCTAGAATAAACTTAAATCGATCTAAATTATCTATATATAAATTTTCAATAAATTATATTGTATATTGATAGAGATATTAATAGGCCTAAAAAGTAATTTTTGGTGTAAAAGGGTAGCCCAAAATAGGGGTGGCCCGAAAGTAGGGTACCCGACTTACCGAATGAAGATAGTATGTTACTACTTACCTCCTTATGTTGACGACATGTCAGGTAGGTATGAGTTGGATCAAGCTAGAGACTTGTAGCAAGCCTACTGATTTCATGTTTTTGCTTGATCAGTTACCACATTGTTGCGTTCCTACTTCAAAAGTTTATTTATTACGTTCATATTTTCTATGATCTTTAACACAAGATTTATTGATCAAACTCTTCCACTGTTAGAATTTCTCTTCATCCCCACGATGTCAGACCAACGTTCTATTCGGTCTGAAGACGAGCCCGCCTGGAGCCCAAAAGATCTCGAGGAAAGTCTTCTTCATGAAGAGATAATTGGGCCAGAAAGAGGCGTCAAAACCTTTCATCGCACTTACCTTGGATTTTGTGCTGGTTATTTGATCGTATCTTTTTGCTTGGGAGCTCTTTTCTCATTTATCATACTTAGTCCAGCTTTGAGTAGAGTAAGATTTGATTCGCAATCGAAAGATTTTCAATGGAGTATACCTACCTCTATTTTTTATTGATCTTTTCATGATGGCATGCTAAAAACACCCCGTTCAGTCCAGAACGCGGAGCTCAGGAATCTCGTATCGGCACCTACATCAAATGTGAGATTTGATGGCACATTTGATCGCTCGTCTCCTTATAAGGGTCCGCCGTCGCCCAAAGTCGATGCTTTATGGCATGAGATTACAATGTGTAAGTAGTTTCTTCCTTTATAGGAATTCACTGACAACTTCAAGTGGGAGCAATGAGTATCTCTGAGGACGTCTTTGAGCACCTAAACGCTTCAAAATACGCGGTCAAACTGCCAAGCAGCCTTGGAGGTGGCCGACTAGCACTTTTTGAGACAATTCATCAGATACATTGTGTCGTAAGTAGCCCAGAAGTCCATCCAAAGCCGGTTTCTAACTTTATCAAAGCAATCGTTATGGAATGCAGCTTATCCTGAGTATTATACCGAACAAACAAAATTTAAGATCAGCCACCCAGAACAGTGGTACGGCCATCTAGGTGAGCTGCATTCAAAACCAAAAGCTCTACTAATTTGCTAACCCAAGACTCTTGTTCACTAGACCACTGCGCAGATATGCTTCGGCAGAAGCTGATGTGCGATGCTGATACTGGTATCGTCACTTACAATTGGCTAAAGGGAAAAGCCAATCCAAACCCAAACTTTAACGTTCAGCATCAATGTCGCAATTTTGATGCTATCTTGAAGTATGCTCGTGACAACCAAGTGGATAAGGACAGCACTGAAAGAATAGATGTCAATCTACTGAAGCCAGAGAATGGATATATCATGGAATTTGAGGGTGAGCCTCCCTTCGATCCTGATGCGGTGCCGTCTATGCGTCAGGAATAAGATTAGAAATTAGCATGTGTCCAAGAAAGTAGCTCGTTTTTTCAGAACTCATGTGTCGGGATTTATGAGTTTATAGCCGTAGCCAATGTGGGGGGCAGTGTGAACATGAGCACTAGGCCTAATATAAGGGGTGTCAACTATTGTATCCTCACTTTTTACTCTTTTAAACCCTTTAGCTAGCAAATAGAATGAACAACATTATGAACACGTACTAGTATCGATGTTTAATATACCCAGAGTTGATACCAACATAATGTTATTGTAGACACAAATTTGCATCAGTAGGCGGTAGCTTGAGTGAATCCAATAGGCCTCAGATTTCATCTTCCGTAAAACACAGACCACACAGGTGAATGATTTGCCCAGTTGCACTATTTTCGCTATGGAGCAGGAGCATTCAAGAATGCTACTCTGCCTGGGGTCTTGCTTGGCTAGGCATCCTGCAAGAAACGGGTAGACCAAGCTTGATTTGCCAGAACTGAGACATCTGAGTAGGTCTAGTGCCAGGATATGTCATCGATATCTGGCTGGCAGCTGACTTTTACTGGCCCTAGCCGTGTCTGCGGAGTCCGATAAAACCGGTGAAGAAAATATCTCATCCTATCCTCATCCTTGGGTATAGACTAGGATAAAAGACCTCCACTTGGACGACAGGAGAAGATAGGATAGGTCAAGGCTAAGCTAGGCTGGCATGGCAGGAGGTGATCTTCCTTCGCTAGTTGAAGTCGTTCAGCAATTACCATGTTGTTAAGATAACTGTAGCATAAGTCTGCCAAGTGACGGGCCGTGATTGCGTGATAGTGGGCCTAAGTGATGGTCAGAAAGAGACCAATTCAAGTGAGGGCGGGGAACCTTGGTCTGGCTTTTATGATTAGAATGCCTTCTGAAATTGTCTAGATAGCAGCACGGTAAGCACGGCACACGTCTTTTAATTGGGATAAAGAAGATGTTGGTCGAATTAAGGGCACTTGCTTAATCTTACACCTTGAACATCTCAACTTCCTTTCCGAAGATGTCAAATACCATGTCCCCGAAGATGTCAAATACCATGTTGACCCTAAGCCAGCTACCGTATTGGAACATTTTCCCCGCAAAGTAGCTAGTGCCCGATGCTGATCTCGGAACTCGGACTCTTATCTTCAACAGACTGCCTTCCATTTTAGGTACAGCGCGAAAAAAACGCATCAACTGAAACTGGGAATAGTGACGATCGTCAGATTCTGAGATTACAGAGTCACACTCTGGACGCATATCAAACACGCCAAAATCAAGACTCTCTTTAAAGCTCTATTAAATTGAAAACCAACTTGAAACTGTATTATAAATTGAAAAAAAAAAAAAGATATAGTATAATTGATAAGCTTCTAGTATTCAAATACCTATTCCAAAAAAAATTAGAAAATCGCTTTCTAATTTAAACGAGAACCTTGAAAATAGTGCTGTCTTTTTGTGTGCCTCTTTTCTGTACAGAGTGTGAGAGTGTTGTAGGGGCATTCGAAATACGCGCGCATTAGATAGGGATCTAGAAAGGTGGAACCGTTCTAAATTCAGAGCCAATCGGAACAGCTACATAAGTAAGGTTATGCGCGCAACCTACCTAGATTTTGGGGAAAGAAGTGGAACACCTTTAGAAAAGGTTAAGAAGACATCGGAAATCTGAATGACGTCTGGTGTATGTCTGCAATCACGAGGAGCGAAAGGGGACTCAAGAGAAGAAGATCGCCGAGTTTTCTTGTAAACATTGCTTACAACAATGATACATTTCTGATCGTTTTATTAGTGGATACTAACTTGTATGTGAAGGTTGTAGAGGGTAAAACTCATTTTTGTTCTACTTTGTTTTTTCAAAAATCTTGAGTCACTTTTCAGTAAAAGTGGTCGACACCATGAGCCACATTCAAACCACGTCTCGATTTCTGTCCACAAGAAGGGGTTACCAACTCCCTTCTCTAGAGAATGATCAGCATCCTGCTCGACAAGTCTGCGGCTCTACTTATTCGCTTTTCAATGTTCGAGCCATGTTTATTTCCTTCTTTTTTGCGTTTGGAATCAGCATTAGTTTTGTTACTGGGCGGTACTACATGCCATACCGAGACATTGCCAGTGGGTGTCAGCCAAATATTGACCGTAACTTGTCCCTTCTCGATGTTTTCCGGGTCTGTCTGAGTGAGTGGGGTGTAAGCTAATTATTTACCAGTACCTTTACAAGAGCACAAGTTTGTTTACAACCAAACATTCGTTGAAAGTGGCCCAGCAGCAGACGCGGCATGGGACTCGCTGTTTCCATCCCAAGGAGGGTTTTTCCGTCACCCAACAATCTCTCGAAAACGCGCCGACTTTGCAGTCTTTCATCAGCTGCATTGCCTCGATAAGATAAGGCTAGCATATTGGACTTTATACGATAGCAGTGTGTTAGCCCATGACGGAATGTCGAAGACTGATTTTGACCCTAAAGGCCTCTCTGAACATTTTGCGCCACTCCACATCACTCACTGCGTCGAACTAATAAGAAATGCTTTGATATGCAGACCTGACACAACAGTTGAAGTCAAAGACTTAGAGAGTAATGGGGTCACAGGATTTGGGGCTGAACATCTTTGCGTGAATTGGAATCAACTTGTTGACTGGGTTTCTGAGTGGGAAGATTATGACAAGCCAGGTACTAAATGATGATGAATGTCAGCACTTCGCCGAAGAATCCGGTTTCAAAAGCTTGTAGTTCCGGCATATGTAGGTCGATGCAGCCGCTAGCCCCGCTAGCCTTGATGGGGTAGGTAGAGTATATCTTCAATCTCTACCACTGATATCAAGAACCATGAATACCACGATGCTATTATACTGCCTAATTGAATACAACATATTAGTGATATGTGCATATGCTATGACCCCAAGGTGATACCAAAACTTGCCCACTGTGATGATATCGGTATGCCGACTTCTTACATCGCGGTCAGATGTCTGATATTGACTGGAAGCAATGAATAGAGTATGATACATGGGGATCAAGAAACCCAGGAACGCATCGAAATTTTCGAAAACATCGCCCAGGTGGACATAAAAATGAAAGCTTTGTGGAAAGGGAAAAGGGATTGTACACTCCGGAAAGTGTTAAAGGATACAATTGATCTAGGTCTAATCGTGTTATTTTCAAGGTCGTCAATTGCAAGGAAGGAAAAATCCCATCCTGTTCTATGCCAAAGACTAGAACAGAATGGATAGAGCTTCACTAGTAGGACAGGATAGGTTAGGTTAGGCTCTCAAATAAAAAAAGACCTCTACTTTTTGTGTTCAAGATGTAATTATATAATCAAGCAAATACGATATATTATTCTGTGATAATACTATAGACTAATACTGCTAATACTGCTCCCAACACAGCCGCAATCTCTAATTTAACAGTCATTACCTTCGCCCATTCGTGCTGCTATTGATTTTGTTACTATTTTATACAATATCCCTCTATACGGACACATAAGACTAATGAAGATATACATCTATATATAAGTATGTACTAAATCAAGGGGAAAATCGGACAACAAAATGGAAGAAGAGAAGGGAAAGCCGAATAAAAATCCACAATACCTTACGATTAACAGGATGTGCAGGATGATTTGGATCCTGAGCTTCTTGTGCCATCTGTTGAGGATTGAAATTGGAGCTGGAATTGTAGCGGGTATCGATATATTGAGACGGGGAGCCATTTTTTTGCTATGGTCATAGTGAGTATTTCGTTTGCACTATAGTTTCATTGGTGATGCTAGGTGTGGACTGGCAGAGGCGAGTCTCGGCGGGTGATATACTTACGGGTAGTTGCGCCATGATAGATTGGAATTGAGAGGGGGAAAGAAGGCTGTTTTGAGAGAGGAGTTCAAGCTCGGTGCGAATGGTGGAGATGGATCTGTTGACTGATGCTTGGTCTGACATTTTGTGAGGATTTAGTAGCAGGGCACAACAGTTCTGTCAGGGTATCTGACGGATAAAGTGTTTTTATTGCTAAAAGCGAAAGCTGGAGAAGGAAGATATCGTTTCCCAGAGACCCTCTTTTTATAAACATATTCTCCTGTCAGGTCCTTTGCCCGATGTCACCCTCCTTAACTTTTTCCTTGTATGCAACTCCATTCGGCTCCTTGCCCGATCGTACTGTCACGAACCACGAATCGCACGTGATAAACAGCACCTGATCAAGGGACTTTAGGCTCAGTAATCTCATATGATTATAGTAAAACTAAGTCTACTTATTAAATTTCTTCAATTAATTTATATATATATATATATTAATCATATACGTAGAATGTATAAACTTCTTCTCGTCTAATTCGCTTTTAGTTATAAAACGATTTTAAAATATATATATTAGAATTTCTATTTCTATTTCTAAGAGCTAGCATCTAATTCCTCGCTCCTCGCTACGCTCGAGTTTAAAGTATCAAATCAATATATATGTTTTTATATACTAGAGTATATTATAGAGATTAATTAGACTAGAATAAGAAAGCTAAGGAGAAAAGAGATTCTTTCGAGATCTCTTTATCTCTAATATAGTAATAATTGCTTAGTTTAAGCTAGTCTTGAACTTAGATAAGTATAATAAGTACTTACGTAATATTCGTTGTAATTTATATCGAAAACTACTATAGAGTAAAGATATTAAAGAAATATAGAAATCGAAGAGTTTTATTAATTATTATAGATTATAAAAAGGAAAAAACAGTTAAACTATAGAAAAATTGTATATTTATATTCTCTCTTAATCTCTAATTATATATATCTCTAATAAAATCGAGTATTATCTATATAAGTATTATTTATATTCTTTTAGTTATATAATACGAAGTTTTATAAAATAGATTCACAATATAATTTTTTAATGTAATAAACTTTTTATATTCCAAAATCCCTTTTTATTTGATTTATTGATTAAGCGAGGGATATAGCCCTGATGCGAAAATTCCGTGTAAATCAATTTTCTCGTAGTTCCGTTCATTCTGAGCCAGCAAACACAATGCGCAATGAAGATGCACTAATTGTTGAAGTATTAGCAAGCAACTCAAGAGAAAAGAGCGAAGCCCGTCCGAATAGACGTACAGAGGTCGGAAGAACGAGATCTGCGAACATATCAGATTATCACCAAGATGCGGATGGAAAAGAGAGTATCGTACAATCCTGATCTCTCGTGGTTTTCGTAAGAACGAATTTGGCATAGAGACGCAGAACAACGAATATGGAAGCAAGTGCAATGCACACAGAATTAACTCCAATGATGATATTGTTCTCGTTCGGTGGGTTGTCAAGATTTTGTACCTCGCCAGTGGGAGGTTCTATAGCTGAGAGGCCGAGGAAATTGTCTGACAGTGACACGATGCTGGCGATAGATTCTGATGTGAATTTGATGTTGCTTCTGTGCTCTTTGGTAATGAGAAATGTAAATGCAAAGGACAGAAGATCGACAGATATCTCACGAGGCTGAGTGCGTCGATATAATTCAGGAAGAGTCAACCGAGCTGGGTTGGCATATTACCTCTATGGGTAGATTGCAGGCCATAGCAGCGTAGCATAGAGGTGTAATAAGATCTACGCCACAAGCACGTACGGGAAATCATGTTCCGTACTGTAAAATGTACCACTTACCGATCTTGAACGTGTTTGCGGCACAGCGCCTGCATGTGGTGGGTAAGCAGTGGTCAGCATGCATGCTGCCATTTACAGGAGATATTAAAATGACTGCAGTCAGTGGTCGCAACGGGTGTGTTTCGCGTCAATTTTTCAATACCCGCTTGTTATGAGTGGCTCCAAATCCCCATCCACCTGCAACCCTTGAAAATGAGGCTCCACCACCTATAGCCACGGGTACCCGTAACCAGCCGTACTACCCAAGCCACCCGTTGCGACCACTGACTGCAGTGGTGGCCTGCCTATTTTTACATCGCGTCTGTATTAAGGTTATCTTATCCCCATTCACGCGGAGGAACAAACACTCAACATCAACACTCGAGAGACGCTTCGTATACTACCTCACCCTTCAAATCAGTATGGCTACACCCTACGAACTCATTTACAACACAGGCGTTCCAGGCCGCGATGAAAATGTCTGGCTCATTCTCGAGGAAGCTGGCGTCCAGTACAAAGACACTCAGTCACTATCTTTTGATAAAGCCCGGAAGAATGTCGTGACTTGGCTCGCTGGTGGCGGCCATGGAAACCCACCTTACTTCACCCCGCCTCTCTTCAAGCACGGCGACCTCGTCATCTCTCAGACCCCCAATATTCTCCTGTACCTTGGTCCCAAGCTTGGACTTGCCGGATCGCGCGAGAACGACTTGTACCGAGTAAATGCCCTTGCCCTTACAGCGCTAGACCTTCTTAGCAATGAAGTTCACGATACACACCATCCTATCGCTACAATACTACCCTGGGAAGACTAGAAGGAGGAGATCAAAAGACGCAGCAAGGAATAGGTCCAAAGCCGCCTCCCTAACGTCCTTGCGTACTGGCAGAGGGTGTTGGAGAACGAGGAGCCCGGACCAGGCCCATGGTTGCTGGGAGACATATTCACATACGCCGAACTGGTCTTATTTCAGTTATATTCTGTTCTGCCTCTTCCGAAAGTGGCCCCGGTCTTGATATCCCTCCTTGTATACCATATAACTGGTATATCCTATGACCTGACTGACCAACTGCCATAGACCCTCGATGGCACCCATTATGCTTTCCCTAAGGCAATGAAGCAAGCCAGAGAAGCCGGTAAATATGATAAGGTATTCAAGTTATACGAAGACGTCAAGGCTCGGCCAAATATTTCAGGGTACCTTGCCAGCGACAGAAGACAGAAGTATCAGGACTGGGGCGTCTACCAGCACTACGACGATAATGATGTAGTTGCTGAGTAGCCTCACTTGGTATAAGGTATGGGAAGTCATATATATGATTCAAAGAATGAGTGTTGCGTTCACGAAATGGTACAATAGTTCATATAGGAAGCCTTTCTATTGAAAAAGAATGTTTTGTTTCCCATCAATTCAATTAAAAACTCATCACGTATCGACTACTATGAGGTTTCAAGTTACATTGGATTCGTGAAATACTTGCGCAAACAGATCATGAGACCGATCGAAAGGGCTCGTCTGCTTGCTTGAACATCAACATCAGTTTGGCCTCTCGGGTTGGCAGAAGAACGCGAAGCCCCAGAGCCCGCCTGATGGGTTCTGGGGTTTGTAGTCGCGTTGCGGCTATGTAGCAAAATCTCTCCATCAGAATCCCCCCTATAATTATCTCCCTTATAAGGATAATCTCTTTACAAGAATATATTTTTTGGTTTCAAAAGTTTTTAGGTCTAAAAAACGCCTACATTTTTAAAATTTTCTTATTATATTCTTATCGACCGCTCCTCTGAGTCAGGTGATTCAATCATATGGGGTTCCACTGTGATTAGCAGTTCAACATCTAATCCTAACGTCCCCATAATCATATATCCTGGGTCATGATACATCAGTGTCCTAATGCAATCCATGACGCTCCACATGAGTATAGTTTAGTGTTTCCCCATGAGTCCGCATGAACAGTAAACCCATGCGAGGTTACCTCCGAGGTATAGACCTTGACTCTAGAATTGGCCTCATTTCCAATATCCACGCCGGTCAAACTCAACATTACGATTGGAGGTGACTCAAACTCTTTTGAAAACCCGATCCAACCTTCCGTCTTCTCCCTAGGCTCATCCCACGGTCGAACATCCATAACATTCCAAGTACCACTCTCACACCTAGGACTCGCTACCGGTAAAGTTGGAGAGACAGCGATCTCTAGCCCAGCCCACCGGAATTCGAGACTTGCAGATACAGTCTGAAACTCCACTTGAATTGATAATGCGAGGCCTCTAGTAAGACCATCGATATTTCCGTCAGGGAGGGAGACTTTGGTATTAAAGTCCCTTATCTTTCTGAGACTCTTTTTTTGAAATGCCTTGTAACCATCGCATATGATAGCCACCTCATCGACTCTTGCATTACAAGCTGTGAAGCTGACTTCTATTGAGACGAAGTTCAAAGCATTCTGTGGTAAATTTGGCATGGGAAAGATGATGGAACCGGTGAGGGCGTTAACGTCTGTTGGTCTTAAGACTGAACCAATTTCGCCAGGTGTAATGTTAAATGAGCTTTCCGCAGGCTTGATAACTCCAGCGCCATGTAGTGACAGCCAAACAGTCATTTTGTAAGCCGCTTAAAAAAAAAGTAGCAAGCTCTAGATAAAGTGAAATCGCACAATGATAGGAAATGCCTCAATGTTAAAATTCTTGAAAAACTTTGAACTCTACGGTCGATACTTTTATATTAAACGGTTAAAAATTATGTGAAATGATACCCCATGACTTAACCATACAAACTCGTTGACACGCGCCAAAGCAAGCACCAACACCACTCCATCTACATCAGTAGAGCCAGGGTTCCTAGGTGTCCAAGGGATGCACACAAACATGGGTATATTTCTGGATACAACACATGAGCACGTCCAGCAGAGGGCCCTGGCAGTGTCATACATCACTTTTCCTTCCCTTTTCTAATACTACCCCCTCTACCCCAATCAAGGGTACCGAACAGGGGCGATATGATCTACTATGAATAAAAGACAATCAACACATCTGAAGGAAAAGATCTGCCTAAGTAAAGAGTCTATCGGAGGCCGTGTTACTGATTTTGTGACAGCTAAGAAATTCCTTCTAAATAGTCATCCCGTGTTATAAAAACAGTTAGCTTGGCACGCCACCATGCCCCTAGGAAGGCTATTAGGATGGCCATATGGCCCTCCACCCACGTTACTTATTCTTTTTTTATAATGTATATATATTTTAAGTCTGATGTGACAGAGGGTTGCTGAGTAATAGAAACAGCGTCTACCCTGCAAAACTCTTCCCTCTATAGTGCATTACACGTTGTGTCAAATAACCTAAAAATAATACATGAGGATTGAATGAGCGAAATTCAAATGAAACAATAATAATGAATAATTTTTTAATTATCCAAATTTATAAATCAATCAAACGCTTAGATTATTTTATTGTATAATTATATAATTGTGCGATTATACGATATATACTTAAAACTAGCTCTCTGTATTAAAAAGTAGAATATTGTTATTATTTGTTTCAAAAAAAACTCTATAGAGATGTTCTATTTGGAATCATACCCAACTAGTGATAATCTCTCGGCATTTCGGTACTATGAATTAATAATTCTATTATAGACATTTTTTATCCTTGCAACATAACTACGTAGTAGGGTAACTGTCGGGATATCGATCATGTGATCTAAAAGAGCACTGTATTGCACTAGCGTATGTACTAGCGTATACACTAGCGCTAGCACTTCTACTATATTAGATACTAGCTTCCCATAGTTAATAATGATCAAGAACGAATAAACCACAATAGACTAAAGTACTATACACTTTATCAACCAAGTTGATACCAACAGTAACATACAATTCCTGAACTTGTGCCACAACATTTGATATTGGCTTTCTACAATGTTTCCAAACATGTAATGAGAATGAGTACTAACGATGATCTCTCTACCGAACTTGCTATCGGCTGTAGTCTGATACCTCGACAGTACTGACGTTATTGATCATCACTATATGAAGTTTTAGTACGAATGACACGCCTACGCCGGAGTACAACTAGCAACCGATGTTGTGGCAACAATTGTGTCAGAGGTTTGTCATTCCCTTCTTGCGACGCTTTAAAAGTAAGTAAAGAAGGTTACATTTCGCTTCGGTCTTGCCGGAAGACTTGAAAGTGGCTTGCAGAATTTCTCTACAAGTATGTAAAAAAGATCTCATTTGCTCAAGTACTGTCTGCTGGCATGCTGCAATGTTCTCCAAGCAAGTAAAGACACAATTTTTATTGGGCTCTTGAATCCAGAAGAGGACTTGCAGTTACATGTGAAGAAGCATTTTTTCGTTATATAAGGATGACATATGCTCAGAAAAATTTGTCATATCCAAAAATCATTCAGACCTAACTTGAGATCAAGTCACAATCAAGCTTGAGTTTATCTTGAAGAGCTTTTATTCAACTCACAGTAGTGCCTCAACATAACTTCTCCGCAAAAACACACGCAAATCCTATTAGAATGACCACTTGGTTCTCTACACACGGCATTGGCGCCATCAAGGACTCCTCCTCAACATTTGTGATGAACATGATGGGCAGTTCTGTAATCGTCAAGCCGACGACACCAGACCCGTTGACGGGATGGGTGCACTTTGCTACCCCCAGCCCATCTGTCGACAATCCCGACCTCAAGAACTTGAGCATTAAGTTTCATTCACACTCCGCGGCCGCTGAGATTGTGTGGTCTTCCCAGCTAATCATAAGGTTTTCGAGGAATACAATCTATAACAAACAGCTAATCTTAATCTAGATGTAATTGTATGATTGTATGATTGTACAATTGTACGATCTGCGATTACTGAAAAGTTCAAATTTGTTACTATGTGTCCCAAAAACACACCATAGCATATATTCAAATTGATACAGCTCATATACATTTACATCAATACAGCTTAAATCTCTCAAATCGGTAAGGCTCATATCATATGATGTCACATGCATTTGAATAACCCTCGACTTTCGGCCGTGCGTCGCGGGTGACCCCGTCAAAAATCGCGCTGTAGCGGACTTGATAAAACAGACTGCAGCACCTTGAGGAACTATCGTCTATATATATTATCACGAATGCGTGTCTTTGATATCACCTGCAAGTTATATCAGGTCAATGAATACTGAGGCTATAGGGCGACGGAATTATAATATTATAGTAGGGTTGATATACTTTATATAATAAAGCGAGCTCGAGATATTTTACATAGTCTGAGAAATCCCATCTACTACAAATCACAAACCAATAAACCAATAAACTATAAACTCCGTATATAATATACACCACGCCAACTCCAATCCATCAAAATTCATAGTCCTCATCTATTCTTTCCACTTTCCCGTTTCCAACATCACTGTTCTAATTAGGAGAGAATTCGCCTTTTTAGTATCTAGACTTTTTTTATAAAGCTAAGCCTTGATCGGATAAACCCAAGGAACCTTGCCTTTAAAAACTTCCTCGCTGTGTACAAAGTCCAAGATCTGCCCTTGAGCTATATGCGGAGCAGCGAAGTGGTTCATCATCATGTCGTCAAAACCCGGTATCAGAGGAATTATATGTCGATCCAGCAGTCCATACCAGAAGTTAGGCCAAGCAGACATCCGGGTCACCGTTGCGGACATGTTGTAATCGCTCTTCACATATTCCGTGCGGGTAGACTGATAGCGTCGAAATGCAATGCTTAGCTCCTCTTTGGAAGGCTGTTCACTGGCTCCGACAGATTCTATACATCGATGCAACTCGTTGACCAAACCAACAGCGTCCTGAATGCCGTTATTGAGTCCCTGCCCATGATTTGGGGTGAACTTGTGTGCCGCGTCGCCTGCAAGAACAATACGACCCCAGCTCCAGTGTTCGATAATCCCTTCCTCCAGATTTGCCATGCCTGCATGACATTTTTTGGCAAAGACGTCCTTGACCTTGAGGTGATCGTTGATAGGCATTTCGGCATGCTTGGCAGCGAATGCTTCGACATCTTCCTGACTATACCATGCCCTCTTCTTTGTCGGGCTCTCCAGATGTTCGTAGATAAAGATCCAGACACGGTCCTTACTGGTTAAGTACTGAACCGAAGCGTTACTCCCGTCACTAGTGCTCCCCAAGCCAATTTCTGAATCTTCTGGCTTAGGAAATGAGCACCACATTGTGCGATACTCTGTTGTGAAGGGCTCCTCGTCGTTGACACTATCTTCTGGCGAAGTTTTAAGAGTTAGACTTCGCATAAGTTGACGCGTTTGGCTATGAACCCCATCAGCCCCAATGACGATAGACCCTTCGTAGGTTGATCCATCTGCACAGAGTATTTTTACTCCGACCTCATCACTTTCAATGCTGGTAACCTTTTTGTTCGTCAACACTCGTGACTTGTCTTCTGGTCTCAAGTTGTCATATAGCGCTTGAAGAAGCTCAGCACGATGAAAGATACGTGGAGTCGACCCATGACTGCTACAATGTTATTCGTCTGTTGTAAAACATTGAAAAAAATAACTTACTTCTGTTTCATGACTTCAAATGGCCAGGCTTCCTTGAATTTCTTCCCATCCATCGCGTAGCTTGTAATGTGCACCAGCTCCGTACTGATAGCAATTAATTGGTCCAGAAGCTCTAGCTGCGACATAATGCGAAGACTTTGAGGCGCCAAAACTAGGCTTGCACCTACATCCTCAACAACCACCTGTCGTCGCTCAAGCACCACGAAGTCAATCCCAGCTTTGGAGAGAGTATGCGCTGCTGTAAGGCCGACGGGACCAGTGCCTACGATTATAACTTTGAAGTTGGGCATTGTGGGTGGGCGTCGGATGTACGACAGTAGTAGAACAGTTCGTCCGGCCTGGATAAAATTCTCAATAGCGTCTAACAGGAACTCCAATTTCAGGCAAATAACTCTTCTTGCGTTTTAGATGAAGGTGTTATCAGGAGATTTTCATGCTTCTTATAGCAAGATGTACTTTCAACACTTCGTGGTCTCTCGAAATCCGCAGTTTTCATAGATTCCGATTTATCTATACAAACACTCCATAGGGTCCAGAATAATTCCTCTAAGTCGGGTACCCCACTTTCGGGCCACTCCTTTTTTAAATTATCTTAAAAAAGCTTATTGTAAAAAGGGACTTCTTTTATTTATTTTTTAATAATTTCATAATATTTGAATTAATCAATTTAAAATTTTGATATATTATTATTTATATTATATTTAAGATATATATTGAAGTTGATATTAATTCGATTTTATATGTAATAGTGAATAAGTATTTAATCTAATAAGCTGTTTCGGATTATAGAATTTTAAAGGTTATTCTTCAAAACTGTATAAATAGTTATTTATTTTATAAAAAAGGTGTGTAATATATGTAAAAGATAATTTCAATATAAAAAAAACAATTAATAGATTAAATATTAATCTAAAAGTTTTTGGGTATTAATTTTATATATTAGCAAATTCGGAAAATTGGGGAATGCTTTTTTGATATTAGAGGAAATAATTCTATGTTTAGAAAATAATAAATTACAAACTTTTTTCAAAGAAATCTAAAGATTAGAATTAAAAAACAAGTTAGAATTGATTTAGTATATATTAAAAATATAATTATTAATATTATTAATTAATAATTTTTAAAATTGGATTTGTTTTTAATTTATTATATTAAATCTTAGTATTGATATAATATAGATAAAATAGATATGTAAAAAGATTAGGGATTAAATGGATAATTCTAAAAAATTCAAAATATTATTTTATTCAGAAAAAGGAATCTGATTTTAAAATTTAAATATTATTTATAAAGTGTGTTTTAATTGTAGAGAGAACTTTTAATTCTTTGATTATATTAAAAGGAAAATTAGTATAACAATAATAATTTCTAATTAATTTAAAGCTTTATAAAGGGTGATATTTTATTGTTATAGATAATGAGTAGATTATAAATAATATTATACTAAAATAGTTTAAAAGGTTTTTAGATTTCAAATAGTCTTTTTCTTATTAGATAAATTAAGACTTTTTATACTGAATGAATATAAAAGTTATAAAACTATTGAATTTATATATAAGTGCTTTAAGTATAATATATACTTCTTATTTCTTTTATTATGTATATTATATATTCTATAATCTCTTGATTTATCTGTATTCTTATCTCTCAAAAGAATATATAGATATTATTTCAATAAATTAATTTTTTTATTGAATTCTAAAGTAATTGGAAAGACTAATTTTCTTATATATTATTAGAAAGTACGATTAGATAGTTTAATAGAGTATAATATATTATCTAAATGGAAAGCTTTAGGTTTATAGTTTTTAAACTGTATTAAGCTTATTATATCTAAATTGTTATTTGAGAATAATAATAAAAAAGTTATAAATCAGAATTTATATTTTAATAATAATTCTATGTATTAATGGAATAGGGAGTCTGCAATTTTAATTTTTAAAACGTTTTGAAAAGTTAGTGATTTAAGATTATATTTATATATATTCTTTTGAAATGAAGAGATCAATTTTTATATTTATTGTTAGCTTTTTAGAAAGATTATTAAGGGATTCGATGTTAAGGATTATGAAATTCTATAGTCTGAGTATCGAATAAAATAATTGGAGTATCAATCAAAACAAATCGTTTTTAAAAAGAAATGTAAAATAAAAATTAATCCAAAATTCGAAGTTTTCTAAAATTAAAGAGATTAGAAAAATGCAAATTGTAATGAGAGATTATGAAATTGATATGGGAGATGTTAATAATGATAATAAAAGTATAGTCTCAAGTATTTATTATGATATCGAATAGTTGTTGAATAAATAATATTTTAAAACTATATAATATGAATTTTTAAGGTGGCCTAAAAGAGGGGTAGCTTGAAAGTGGGGTAACCGACTTATCCCCCAGAGCACTAAAATGTACTTCAGAACTGGCCCAAGCGTTTTCTCTGAACAATGAAGTCTGATTGGCCGAAAATGTTCAAGTTAAGATTTCATGAGATCATATTCTTGATATCTAATATTGAGTTAATGTCACGGTTAAGCCAGCGTAGGACTCTGTATATAACGACTATTATATAATATTATCTTAATTTAATATTAATTTAAATTAAGCGATTGTTATTATATTAGAGATAAAGAGATTCCTTAGGGCTTTAGCTTTCTTATTCTAGTTTATTTAATCTCTATAATATGCTCTAGTATCTGAAACCTCCGAATCATGCGTCGAGAGCTACAGAAGAACTTGATTATACCGGACTAAAATTTTCGACTAATCAAATCCGGTATATTCATGATTTTAGTATAAAAAATAATAGTTCAAGCTTTCTAACTAAAATTTATATCCGATTTCAGCTCCAAACCCCGATTTTTTCGAAAAAATATTATGTGATAATAGTGAATCAAGCTTACTTATCTAAAATCAAGCTCACTTATTTAAAATTCAGCTTATTTAGTTAAATCTATTATCAAAATTTATATCGGATTCGAGAAAAAAGTATTCGGTATATCGGTTTTGGTCGAAATTCCGGTATTTATATATAAATTTCGAAAAAATCAGTAAACAAGTCCGGTATATCCAAGATTCCAGTATATCCCAATCCGGTATAGTCAAGTTTTTCTGTACGCTTACTACTCAATAATTAGTATAATTGATTAATAAGATCCCTACTAAGGGCTCGTTCGGATCGATTTGTTTTTCGATATTAGACTAATATGTTAGTTCAATATGGTGTTTACCGAACGCAATATTGAAGCTAATATATATTAGGTTTAATATATGGCTGAAAACTTTCAAATATTTTCGAAGCGAATACAATATTTAAGCTAATAAAATATTGAGTTAAATAATGTTAAAGTAACAAATACAATAAATTTTCTCAACCTTTCTTATATAATAATTAATAGTAGCTTTTGAGGTTTAATTAAACGAATATATTTAAGAAAAAGTATTATCTTCTTCATTTTCAACTTAACCTCGTACATCCCAATATTACCCCAAATATATTAGCTTCATTCAAATATATATTAGCTTCAATTTTTCAATCCCCTTGTTATTTTATTATTATTAGAGATTTCATCAATAAAATAAAAAATCGATCCGAACGAACCCTAAGCGACGGAGCCTATCTTGATATTCTAGGGGGTACGGTAAATATCAACTGAGGCCTGAGCTTGGAACATTTACTTTCTAACTAGCGGGACCGCCTTGAGCCATTGCTCCGCATGTAACTATAGTAAAACCTTTCTATAAGGATCCCCCTATAAGGATAATCTCTTTATAAGGATATATTTTTGGGTCTCAATTTTTTTAGACTTCTTACAAGTATATACAACCTGCCTGTAGCTCAAATCTAATTCGTGCTCAAGGAAACAGGTATAGTAAAACCTCTTCATAAGGATACTGGTTTTTGTAATCTTTTTTAAGGATATATAGAGGTATTCTTATATAGAGGTTTATAAATAAAAATAACAATTAACAATTGAAATAAAAATCTAAAGAATATTATTGAATAATATAAAGTTTTTTATATAAAACCTTCTTTTTAGTTTTCTTTAAAAATTCTTTAAAATCAATATTATTGTTGTTTCTTTGAAGTTTAAATAAATCCAGCTTTTCTAATGCTTTTACAGTTTTTTTATATAATATATATACAAAAAGCTCTTGATTTTTTATATTACTTTCAATTTCCCTTTTAATTATATTATAAATTGCTATTAGATTTTTAATAATATCACTCTTATTATAATTCTCAATATATTTCCTTTTAGAATAAATAAATTCATTTATAAATATCAAATTATTCTAAAATTTGATATATTTTTGAAAAGATTATTATATTTCAATAACTTAATTTTTCTCTTTTTTTTTATAGAATTATATATTTAGAATTATTCTTTTTATCAATATTATTATTCTCAATATATTTCTTTATCAATATCGATTTGAATTAATATATCTATATTATACTAGCTTTTATATTACTTTAAATATCTTTAATCTATTATATAATGTGTAGGAGGTTAACGATTTTATTTGAAAGCTTTCCCTTTTCAAGCTATACAAATATATAATCTATCTAAAAATATCGATATTGAATCTTGAATTATATAATAATATTTTGATTAAGAGATTATTATTTAAAAATAATATTTTTAGATAACTAGTATATCTCAATATGGGAAAATTGATTAATAAGTTAATAAACAATTAAAATATATATATTGAAATTGTTTATTATAAATAAAATCTTATAATCTTTGTATATAAATTTACTATTCAACTTTATCAAATAATTGACTATAATTCAAATAATCATTCATTTAATTATATTTGAATAATGTTTAATTCCTAAACAATATTTATTTATATGTTTAAAACATTACAGATTTTCGGATCTTGTAATTATCAATAAAACTATCTTTTCACTTTTATTTACATTACATATAAAAGCAATTGTAATTCGATTTTTATATATTTTTCTATCAAATTGATATTTAATTATAAATATATATATAAAGAATAGTTTCCATTATAAATTAGTTTTATCTATATTGAAGATATTCCTGAATTCGAATTCTTTACAATGTTTTCTATAATACTTTATTTATATAAAAGATTCAATAGAATTTATCTCTATATTTATTATTTCCCTATATATAATATATTCAATAATATAATACTATTATTTAAAACTATTAAGCTAATTATTATTTTATTTAAAAAGAATAAGATCTTTGTATTAAAAGAATAACTTCCAGAGCTCTTTTGTCTTCTTTTTAAATATATCTCCTATAACTATAGTATATAGTTTTTGTATATATTGTTATTATTTGTATAAAGCATAATTATATACAAGATAGTCGATAGGTATTTTATATTTAATAGTAAGGTATTGATTTTTGTAGAAATCAAAATCAAGATATTTATATATAAAACTAAATATAATAAAGTATTATTCTTATATAAAAAATTATTTTGTTTTTTGCTTGAATCAAATAATAAGATTTTTTTAACTTTTTTCTTCAATGATTTGTATTTGATATAATTACTAATATTCTATATTATTTATTGTAAATCTTTTTTGAGGGATCAATTAGAAAAGATTTATAATAGATATTATATTCAAAATTATTTAAATAGCTATAATATTAATATTAATATTATTGAATGAATAATAGATTAAAGAAAATAGATTAAAGAAAAAAAGTTAAAGAAATCAAACTCCAGTTTTAAAAATATCAAAAAAAAAACCAATAAAATAAGGTTAAAGCAAATAATTTGATTGGTATGCTTAGGATATATACAATTCTAAAACCGGAATTTATAAGGATATCCTTATAGAAGGGTTTTAAGGATATAAATCATTTTTAGCTTTGAAAAATTTTGGAATTGAAAAATATATTCTTATAAAGAGATTATTCTTATAGGGGGGATCCTTATGGAGAGGTTTTACTATACAGATATTGCTGTATTTCCAGCCGGTCTGTAGATCCACACGTAATTTTCGGACAAAAGTATTCTCCGCCACTAAAATAACCTACGACAATCCTATATATTTCCACCCCGGCTTCTGTGCTTATTTCAAGGACTGGCATAACGGATACAACCGTATCACTTGGCGCTGACTGAAGTGTCGCAGATATCTAAATCCAGGGGATACACGGATATGTGCCAGATGGTCCGCAGAAAATCCGCTTTTAATCGGAGCCGATAGGTCTCTCAACAGATACCCCACGGAGCACAAAATCGAGGGGAACCGCTCTACGGAACGGGGCAGCTCATGATATCCGTACAGAGCGGATTTTTTTACAATTGTATGCTAATGGCATATATTATACTATCCTTAAACAATTTAAGATTGATTTCTTGTTATATTCAATAGAGGAATCATGAAATACATTAGAGTAAGTTATTATCTTTTAATATCATTACTTAATTGAACTTTCTTATCCAGAAATGGTGTGTTAGGAGCTGCCTGTGGGTTTAAGAAGTCTGAATTATCAAGTGTCTAATCTATCTACCACTTGCCACCTACCATCTGCTACCTACCACCTGCCAAGCTTCTTGTACAAAGGTATTTTCTTAAGCGTTCGCTGTTATAACATTTTTACATTGTCGTTCTCCTTTAAGTATGTTCATTGAAACATTTAGTATTATCTTTATAGTTAGAATGAGATTAGTATTGAAAGAGTATATAAATCTTAACAAATGTAGTGGTTAGTTGTAATTGTTTCTCGTGGTCAATACTAGTCTATGTTGTAATGTTAACTCAGGCTTGTCTTCTTTCATGATCAACTTTGTACTAAGTAGATCTTAAAACTTGCAAGTTATACATCGTACGGAACGTTGTGTTATCCGAGCATATCGATATCTTGATGTCGCCTCAATTCCTGCACCCCTCAGGTAAAACTCGGATATTCTGGAAGATCGATCCGACCCGATCCGACCCGATCTACTGGTACAGTGAGATAGGGTAGTAAATGAATCTAGATAAACGTAGGAAGGGGCCGATGATTATATCAATCAGGAGTTAATTCCTTCTTTTGTACGGGATTTGAATGAGTTGGGGTGAGTGGGTAACGTGGTGGTGTCAGTGGGGAAAGAATTGAAACCCGGGATTTTTTGATGTTCTGTTTTAATTAAACTTTTGAGCTAGTACTGTATTATATTGTATATCTTTGTGCTTAGAGTTTCGGAAGCTGGTTTCCCGGCAGTTGAATAATACTTGCCGGTCTTAGAAAAATTCTGCCGACCATCTTAGCGATCATCCTAAGATGGTCGGCAGACGAGTGGGTGCACGGACTTACGGGACAGCTTGTAGGTACGCTCTACGTAGGAGAAAAAAGAGGCCGATTTTGACCACATAAATCTCCAATGAAATCTTTGAATTAATTGAATTATAAATCGACCACAAATAAAACAAATAAATATGAAAATATAAGATTATTTTTCATCTTTTATTTATATTGATTCTTATCAAAATTTATATTTATTTGAGATTTGAAGAGAAGAAGTTGGTTTATTAAAAGTATTAAAAAGTAATCAAACCCGGCCTCTTTTTTCTCCTACGTAGAGGTACGGTACCTATCTAAGTGAAGCACAATTTTATACCAACAAAGACGATTTGGATAATTCAATCAAAATTCAACTTTTTTATGAATTTTCTTGAAATTGAGATACATAATTTACTAGTATAAGAACTCTATACCCCTTTAAGATTGAAATGTAAAGTATTAAGTTGAAGCTTTCATACTCAAATATATAAATGCTTATTAAAATGTTTAGTAAAAAGATATAGTAATAAATTTTTTGAGCTTATATCTTATGATTTTCAATTCGATTTTGAATATATGATATTCTAGTGTTTATTAAATTCAAAATATAAATTTGAAGAATATTTGATATTGTTGCGATTATATACTAGAGTATATCATAGAGATAAAATGAATTAGAATAAGAAAACTAAAGAGAAAAGAGATCCTTAAGAAGTTTTTTTTATCTTTATAACAATTGCTTAATTCAAGCTAATCTTGAACTAAAGTGAGTGTGATGAGTAATTAAATTATTATATGATATTCGTTATAATGACTTCGAATAACAAATATACTATCTCTATAATGAGACTAAGTCGTCTAGTACTCAGTCAGAATTTGCTCAATCATAGCTTGAACAACATACTCAAGCTTCTCTGTCTCTTCTGGAGTCGGCTCCAGGACTTGGAATTCCTCAGGAGCGAGGCTTCCGTCATTATCGGAATATTTAGGTTCTTAAACTTGTAACTGATTTAACATCGCCCAAGTGGGTGTACGGAAGTTTTCCAACTTACCCGCTCGCTCTCTTTGTAGCCGTTGTAGATTTTCATATCCTCAGAAACTTCGCTGAGATATTTGGCTTCCACGTATACTTCATCCAAGCCGAGGGCAGAAGACTGTTATCAATAATTTATTAGGATAAACAGAAGAGTGCTTTTTAGAGGAGGTAGTATGTATGTCCCGCCCTTCTTCGAAAAATTCTTAATACTTGTTTTGATCAATCTTTGCTTCGTCAGCGATTCCAAGAAAAAAATTCAAAAAATCTCGATATTCGTTCTTTGGAAAAGGCCTGTGTTGTGTATGAACAACGCAGTTGTACAAAATATTCAAACGTAGATATATCTTATTAAAATGTTACGAGAGCTGCTTCTAGGATCATGCGGAAGTTTTTAGAGATCTTCAGAGGTAGTCTAGACTAAACTTCAAGTAGGAATCCGATACGATTGTAACTGATTGTAATTCTCGTAACTATAGTAATGAATCTAAATGGTTATTCTTAAAGACAAATCTCTATAGGTATATTAAGGAAATCCTATCCACTATATAGACCTTCCCGTTCTGCTAAATCCAGAAATCACTTTACTTTATACGTAAAAATTACTTAAGTTAGAAAAAGTAAATTTCGACTCTTATTTTATATCTAGTACTAAAGATGGAGTAATGATGATTATATATATGACTAAATCCGACTATGTCACCTATGAGAACCAATGAAGAAGTTCATCGCAGGGCCTTTAATGGCCATGCTCATCATGGATGATATTGATATTCTGAAGTAATACAGTAGGGAAAGCGGTGTAACTTCACTTCCTCGATCCTAGAAAGAGTGAGACTACCTACTATAAGCGATCCCCAATTTAAACCAGAATCTATTCAAAGGAAAGTCGAAATTAAAAGATATCTTGATAAAAACTCAAACTCTAACAATTGTAATATCTGATCTTTCTGCCTCATAACATATTAATGAAAAATGTATCCGAAAAATATATACATCAAAACGAATTCCAATATCTAACCTTTCTATCAAGCTTCAACTACTTCTTAGCACCGGATATACGAATTTAGAACCACCACTCGATCGCTTTCGTTCTTAGGAAGTAGAGTGTATCCAAACTGACATTGTTCAGATAACAAATTTCGGATGAATAAAGAGTTGGTATTAAAGTAGACGAACAAAATCCCGTGATAAAAACAACCAATATTCCCTCCCCCTAGCTCAGATAATAGTAATAGATGTAGCTTCTCTAATATCATCAAAATTAAAGCAACAGCATTTCCGCCCACAATAGGTGCCGATATATGTGATGCCGATACGTCTGAACGTGTTATCGACATCAACGGTGCCGTTCTTTTCACGCACCTTCTGCAATATCAACACTACTCCTGACTCTATCCGCGACCCTTGTCTAGTAACCAACAAACCATATGTCTCTCCAAAACCATATTCTGGCTGCCAGCCATCGACATCCAGATCTCCCTTCGAATAATACATTGTAGAAAGACCTCTGTGGTCCGTGCTTAAATCTGAGGCAACAAGAACTTCGCGAACGTCTCGTGCTAGCATTAATCTCCCACGGACTTTTAGCATTCCTGAAGAAACTGCCCCATACGGATTATCTCCCTCCACTGTACAGGTAATATCTCCGATTGCGAAAACAGGGTCTTGTAGCTGTTCACGTGAGTCCAGGTCGGACGTCTTCCACATGAGCCACGGTACAACGTTCTCATTGCTCACTTTATATTCTAACGAAATTGATGCCCAGGACCAAGTGGGCGCTACATAAGTTTGAGGTCTTTTGATCCAATAAGGGTTGGAATCTCTATAAGTTCCATCTGTTGACCAAAGAGATGCGAAAACTCCGCTATCACTCCATATTCCAGCTCGATGCTTAGGTATCTCTGAGGAGGAAAGACAGCGCAAGCGCTCAGCAATGCGACTTGCGATTCCAGAAATAGCCGGAAGACGATCTTTGTAAGCTGAAGGGCGCTATAAACACGAACGCGAACATACCAATCGTCTAGGATATGATTTCTAAGCCAAAGATGATTGTAAATTGCATCAGGTTGAAGAGGATTCCTGATGGGTGCTTGCTGTGATTTAAATTTGGTATCGTATATCGACAACTGGCGAGTCGTATGATGTTCAGCAATGTGATTCTCGATCATACTACATTCGCAACATCGCCCATTTCTACATTCCCAGATAAGTTCGCTTTCATAAAAGCTCACAGTTCTTGGCGACAGAGCACGTTCCTGGTAAACCCATGCGCGTGAATCGAGTGGTGCTAGCGGCAAATCCTCGCCCCAGCGACCTCCCCCACGATAAGAATTCAAATGAGTGTTTTTCAAAGATGGCCGGGTGTATATTGGCCTGCCATCCCATTTACAAATAGATCCTGATTTGTAAACAAGAGGTTGTCGTTCGAAAGGCGATATTATCAGCCCGTTCAACGATTGAACTGGACGCATGGATGTGTATCGATTATGGAAAAGTCCCACATGACTGTCAGAGCCGTGATTAGCAGAAATATTTAACAATGATCCGGCATAAATATCCGCCATCATCGCTGACTGTTGTTGCCAATCAGAAGGATCATCTTGTAAAATACACAGCGAATCTATCCATATGTATTGCATATCGAGTCCACCTGTGAGGATAATTGCATCTTGGAATGTTTGAGGAAGCTTGGAAATAATGATTTCATCCATGTGCTCATCGTAATTGTGCGATGTTGTTTGGGCAACTCTAGAAGCAATAGGGCCCCAACAGTGGCTCAGTGTTGTATACTTTATTTTTGTCATATCAACCCTCTCGATACTCCTTGGTTCTACCAACCGAACTTTTCCTGTAATAACAAAATCCTTTACATCGATTAGACGTCTTGGTAATTTCATTGTTAATGTTTCGACACAGCTTTTATGTTGCGTATAGCATTTTTTTTAGCCAAGACGTTATGAGAGCCAAAGCAAGATTCAAGTCGATTTTTGGGATGATGTGCGGTGAGATAATGAATGGCCTTGACGACAGGTCCGATTCCTGTTGTTCTATATTCGAATCTATCTCCTTCAATTAACTTGACACTCGAAACTCGCCAACCGTACGAATTAATACCTGGTGTCTGATAGAAGTCTAGATCCCCCACCTCTCCAGTATATTGCAAAGAGACATATTTGGCATAAATGTAAGCCTTTCTTGGCTGTACCTTCGAATCGGATCTGGCAGAACAATACTGTAGCACGGCATTGCGAACAATTCGGCACCGCAAACAAGCAGGCAAATCTTGATCTCGGGGAGTCAAGTACAAGGTAATGCTCTCTTTTGGAGATAATTTGCCGCAATACTCGCACAGCATTTTAGGTTGGAGAAGATGACAGAGTATTCGCGATACTGGATCTGGAAAAATAGACAGTTGGTTTTGATAAGAAGCATCATTGAATAACACGGAAATGTAAGAACGTGAAGTAAAGAGGAGAGGTGTAAGCTGACCTGGGTTGTATGCATTTTTACCCCACTGCACTGCCGCAACAACAGTAAGGTTACACTCTAGCTATCGACATCCAATCAAGAACCCGATCTCATGAGTCCTCAAAGCCTCAGAACCTCAAAGCTCTCCTTATCAACTCCCCTCACAAGCAAAACGAGGTGTATTTCAGCATGCCACAGGTCAACGTTCTAATCAAATTCAATGTTCTAAATGATTTAAATATTCTAACTGATTTGAATATTTGATAATTTTCATTGTTGGACTGCAATCCGGACCATTAAACACTCTGATCAGCGATCGTTTTTTATTACCTCCACTTTCAATACCATGACTTTTGAGCGTAAGAACTATCAAGATTTATTCAATTCCTTATAGAACAAACCATCATTAGTTCTCTCTTCGCTTTCACTAGAATGCGGGATTAAATAAAAAAAGATGCGCAGAAATCTCAATACAGATGATTTTGATAGGAATACAAGACATGAGATGTTATATGTAACAATCTCTTCATCGCACTAGGTACTTCTAGAGATCCCTTTGATGAAATTTCGCAAACCATCGACATCAAAATTTTCCTGAGCGATCTTCAAGATGACTCAAACGGGAACTGAAATGTCCAACAATGGAAAGCTGTAGTAGGGATGGCTGGTTTTGGAGGAGATAGAATCTGCTTCGAAAATGAATCTGTGATTGGTCTTGAGGCTCTGGACATGGTGACCACGTATCTTTCATCTTGGAATATCTTTATATATTCTCGATACAATTTGCCCGGATCGCGCGAATTATTAGCAATTAAGGTTACGTGAATTTCCGCGCTAACAGTTGTTACCGACTAAATTTAGCGGCTATCGGCCTATCTCTCGGCAACGGTGGGACACACATGTTTAGCCATTCTAGCGTCTCAAACGCCATGTACGCCCGTGCGTAAAGTGGGATACATTTATATAATTTAGTATTCTCAATTCAGACAACGGGGGAGATATTATGAATTACAATCTCTAAACCCTGCATATATATGATGTGAATACACCTTGTGAAGTCTGTAACACTTTGTCAAGTAAAGAGGGCTTGGAATTTCGTATTGTTTTCATCTGTACTCCATTACAATTTGGTGGTAGTTCCTACTGGATTCCTCACCCAATTCACATTCTTGAATTTGAAAGCAATCAAATAATTCAGATCAAAGAGATAATAGATAGATACGCAAAATGCAAACGTCAGATAGCCCAAACTCCTAATCTAATTCTAAGAGACAACAAGTAAAACAAACGCAAACGCCATCCAAAAAAAACTACCTATCTTCTATGAGATCCACTGTGAGATCCACTGCTAGCACCACTAGTTGAAGTTCCTCCTCGTGCTTTTCCACTTGTAGGTGCCTTTTTCTTTGCCAACTTATCCGCCTCTTTCTTAGCCTTTTCTTCATCCTTCTTTCGTTCAGTTTATCATTAGCAAACTCGGAATGCTCTCTCATGATACGTGATGCGCTTTTCGTCTTCGTCCCATTCTGCCTGCTCCAAGTATCTAGACGACTTCTCAATTCATTGAATGTTTCTTTATCGAGCGGATGTTTACGCAGTGCTTCCTTATCCCTGTGGTGGCAAAGTTAATACCTATATACGAAAAAAATATTAGTATAAATCCTTATACTAATATTTAATATATATATTATAGAATTCAAACTTTTTTCGTTTCTGACGAAATACATATTTCATCAGCTACAAATCTTTCCAGTTCAAAATGAGAACCGTTTATTATTGAATTTTAATAAACATAAAGAAAACAAGAGACCTTAAAGAGCCCCTTATGTCACGGGGCAAGCAGACGGGATTAGGAATCTATATTCGACAGTGCTAAGAACAATAGGTATAGGGTATAGACTAAGATGTAGCTCAAAGAGCTACAATATAGGATCTTCCAATGTAAAGATATATAGAGTTTTCACTTGTAAACTAGTCTAATAGGGCCTAGCTTATAGCTTATCGGTCATGTGTATTCACACCGTGACACCTTAGAGATTTCAAGTATCGAATATTAGAGTTATAGGAAAGGTGAATGAAAGGGGAACGAGTATAGAAGCTAGGAAAAGGAGGGGAATGAGTATAAGAGCTAAAGGAAGAAGGGAGTGAGCGGGGAAGCGAATATAAAAGCTAAAGGGTAGAAAACGGTATTAGCCGAAAGTTTAAAGGGGAGGGGATTTCATACCTTGCTACTCACTTTCAAATTATTCTTCAATCAAAAGCTTTACTATTATACTACAAGTATAGAATATATTATTTAAATAGGAATATCAGTTAACTCTAATATATATAATTATAATTACTATTTGATTAATAATCGAATTCAATATAAATAAACTTTTTTACTTGCAAATAGCTTTAGGCTAAAACTTTCGAAATCCAAAAAATTTCGAAAAATCAATAAATTTCGAAAAATTTTCTAAGTCCTTTTAAAATAAAATTTTCTAATTATATACATATAAAAAAGTCAATCACATTAATACTATATAACCGATTTTTTCAATATAATATTAACTATTGAAATTTTTGATACAATTGATAAAATGATTTATTCGTTAACTACGGATTCTACTACCACAGGGTATAAGCCTTATTGATATCTACCAGTTCTCGTATTGAATCTGAAACATTCTATGTCTCGAGTGAGTATAAAGCTTTAGCGTCAGGATTGGTAACTCTCTAATAATTAAATTCTAGAATGATTTAGTTCCCGAGTAGTACAGTACTTTGTGCGGTAGAAGCTGCAGCAACTGTAGTACTGAGAAGACTCATGATGAAAAAAAAATAAGTTTCGGCGATTGTTTGTATACAAGTATAAATAGATGAGAATATTAAAGATTAAAGATTAAAGATTAAAGATTAAAGATTAAAGATTAAAGATTGAAGATTAAAGATTGAAGATTGAAGATTGAAGATTGAAGATTGAAGATTGAAGATAGAGTAATAAATATAGAAAGTTTGTTTGATGTATAGTATTGAGCTGATTGATTTGAAATAGTTTAGTAGTAATTTATTCTCTTTTATATCTTTTTCATTATCTCCCTAACATTCAGGTATCGAGATTGATAGAGTCAGCCTCGATGCTGAGCCTACTACAAGTTTCTAGGTTTAGGCATTGCGCCTATTCAGAGGTAGTTCAACGGCCGAAATGTAATTGTCTGCCTTGATAGCATGTGGTTATAATATCGAGATGTTAAAGAATATATGAGTCTACCTAATTTGAGTCTCGACGGCGGCTTGGTGCCTAGATTGACGCTGAGCTAGATTGACGCTGAAATATTAACCCGGGTAATCCTGACCCTCGGGATCTGTATCATTATCTGTATGCCTTATTAATGATTGAAACACTCGTACGAAAGTATAGAGCTTGTGATTGATTGTGTGTTTTTCATCTCTTCTCGACGGACTTTCTATAGCTAATGAGTCTATCGTAAGTTCAGATCCACTTGACAGGTTTTTATACGAGTTATTCAAACTTATTATTATTTCTATCATAAACAAGCTTATCTATCAATCTCTCAATTCTAGATACTTACTTCTCTTTAAATATATTATAGAGATAATTAGAATATATATGTAATAAAAATAATCCTCCTTACACGAAAATTAACTCGCTTACTCTACTCTATTCAACATCGATCACCCGATAACTAAAGCCTTTTCGCTACAAGCGCACGTGACACGACAAAACAATCAAGACAATATAAAGCAATAAGCGTCACTATCCCCCAACAATAACAAATCGGGCTTGTGGTTTAGTGGTATAATGTTCCCTTAGCATGGGAGAGGTCCGGCGTTCGATTCGCCGCTAGTCCAATTCATTTTTGTCTTTTTTTTTCCATCTCCCAATTCTGCTCATCGTCTATTTCCACGTTCCATTTTTTCCGATCAAATTATGTATTGTTTCGAGGACGTTACATGGTTGTGAAGTTTTGCTTTTTTTTGGTGATGCTGGTGTTGGGAATAATCTTCCCTTGCGTGAATGTGGGGTAAGAATTGATTTTGTGGATCGAGTGGGCTTCGCTTGTGGTTTTTGGTCTCCTATCATTTTTGATTGTGTGGTGTGGTGTAAGATTTTCCTTTTGGGGGCTGGAAATATACATACAAGACGGGTTTCGATCATCGAAGTAAGGGTGAGTGAAAATATAGAATTTTATATAATCCTACCTTTGGCAGATTTTAACCTCAATTTTTGGATTTTGGTTCATGTCAAGCAAGAGCTCCACATACACCATTACTTGAAAGCCTTCTTTGAAAGCTCAAAAAGTGTTGCCCAACATGATAGAACGTATAATTTTAGACGGCACACTTCTCAACCCTAGCTTTTGAGTTGTACTTCTTCTAGCTCATGTCTCACCACCTGCTATCTTTTGCATTTGTCGTTCAGGCACATAGTAGCACGTTGAAAACAATTATTGAGTGAAAACTCCGTTTCCATTATACTTTTCATATTGTTCATAGCTCAGGATAATATACACACTATACACACTATACACTTTTTGATATCTTCCCAAAATTATCTCCATGGCCAATTATTTGACCTCCATTATCCACTCCCTTGAGTGCTCCTTCGTATCAAATTTGTAGAATCTCAACTCAAGATCTCGTACCTCAGAATGCTCATCTTATCTTTTACCAAGCATAAAGCACATATAACAATATGCAATTGCTCATCCCTTCAATTCACCCACGATAATTACCCTCCCCCCTTTCTCAAACTTCTCCTCTCCCATCCATTCCTCACCTCGTACTATCGAATCAAAAAAAATTCTATCACTAACGCAATTTTGTAAAGAAAATAATCAAAAATGCGACAAGACCAATAGCAATAACACACATCCAACAAGC